CATTCCGCGCACATGAGCACCAGTCGAAGAGAGAACGGACGCAGAGCCAGCAGGGCTACGACGGCTACGATGCGAAGAGACGCTTTCAAGTTTCAAGAGCGGTCGACTACAGCGCCGCCGCAGGTTTTCTACACTTGAAGGGCCTCCCCCAGGCGTCCCCTCGCGCCACTAGAACCCTCTAGTCCACTGTAACACGGGCGAACACGACACAGAGGCGTGAGAGAAACACGAGTTGCAGGACGACTCAATCGTTGACGTCACTGCACTGGCGCGGAACGCGCGGGAACTTAAAATTAGGCTTTTAAAAATTGTTTTTCTTTTTTTTTTTTTTACTTCACAAATACCGAGTCCCCAAGTTTCGAAATTTGAGGGTAATGTTCAGGCATCGTTTTCAATCGTTTCGGATAGAAAAAAAAAAAAAAAAAAAAAAATTCTGACCTGTCAGTGCTTCTTTAGCGTCCTCCTGTAAGTTTTGTACAACATTAAAACATAAATTTAAAAAAAAAAAAAAGAAAAAAAAAAAAACTGGTCATTGAGCGGGCACATTAGAACCCGCGCAAGACGCGCAATCAGCTCGCGCCATTCCTCTAAATGAAGTTCCTACGCCCACCACTAGGTGCGGCCTTTGCGCTGAAAATGCGAAGCCCCTTGGTCTTGCAAGTAGCGTCAAATGCGCCGGTGCACGAGGCAAATGTCTCAAGCTGCTCTTGGAAGCAAATGGCTGCACAGCACTGAAGTGAGCGGCCCTTGGAAGCGAATGGCGGCCGAGCACCCGCTCGTGGCTCGTTTATCCAACAATGGTTGGCGGTAATTGTAAGCGTGAATTTTATCGAGGGACTTTCAAAAAATGACCCAAGGAAACAGCCGCAACGCATCCACCCCGAATCCTCCCAGGTTCATTCTGTAGTCTTTCTTTTAATTGGATGCCAGTGGCATAAATAATAGTCGGTGCCGTTGCAGCCTCAAACTGGATGATTGGCAAGATACAGGACGATTCAACCCTCTAGCACCCAACCTTCAGGGTCCGTTTCCTCGAAACCGGTTAACTTTAAAGGGAGTAAAAACTTAACCGAATTTCTCCACGGAATTTTAGGTCAGGTGACCGGCAGAGTAGGGACGGCGGGGAAAGAGATTGTGCAAGCGTCACTCGCTTTGGAATTCATTGCTGCTTTGAACACGCACAAGATTACAGCCGCCATTGCTGACTGTATTACTGGGATACCAAGCTTAAGCGGGCTTTGAAGAGGCCAATGCTGGGGAGAGGGGAACAATCGAATCTAAAATGGCAATAACCTGTCCGTTGCAGAAATCATGGATCCATTTTGTTTTTATTGTTTTGGTCGTCGTTCAGTGGTCTCATTCAGTGGTCCGACAGAATACCCTCCGCCACGAATGCCAACAACATAAGAAAAATGGCCAACAACATAAGAAAAAAATCACGGTGGCTTAGCTCGACCATGCCAGGATATACGTAGCGTGAGCTTATGCGCACAAAATGAGAGGCGCTATCAAGCGGCTCCGGTGCAGCGTCAGACTTGGCTACTGCGCAACGGGGGCGCACAGCTGGGCACGCGACGGCTCCAGTGCGTCTGCCGCGGCTATGACATCACTCTTCTGAAATGCGCAGACCGGCCAGGCGCGCGCGGCGGCGGCGGTTCCGGCGAGCCAGCTATGCGCCGTGTGACGTCACTGCTCCTCGCGCTTGCGCAGCACGGCTCTTTGGGAGCCACGCGAAAATGCTCAACCTCGGCCAGTGCAGCTCACGCTACAAAAAGATATTGCAGGGCAATATTCCTTTTGTGAGTAGACATCCAAGGTGAAACTTTTAATGGTCTCCAACATATAACAAAATTAAAAACATGCTCAAGATATGTACACAGAACAAATGCAGAGGCTTTGGAATGTACAGCACAATCAGCATATGAAAGGAACACGCACAAAGCAATCGCTACAACATCGCTGCAGCCTTCGGACACCCGATTACGTGCTTCCGTGAACAGCATCCCCCCGCAGCAACAATACAAACGCTTCGTCGTTTTCCGGGAACCATTCGAATCCCACACTCCGTGAGCAAAACACAGGCAGTATTATGGACGGTCAATGGGTGACAGCCTGTAAAAGAATTTGTGCTCGGACACGTAACAAGTAGTGCTTTGTGCACCCGTGCGAGTGAGAAGCACACACCTAAATATCTCTCCCTCTATACACCATATGGTGGAGGGAAAACTTCCATTATATACTAACGACCCCGCCAGCAATGCGACGCCATCCTCATCTGACCAATCGGAGGCAAAAAGTCCTCTCCCGACTACGTGGTTGCCAACGACGCGGATGCGCACCGAAGAATGCACAAAACAGTTAGTATTCTCTTCAGTGCAGAAGCTTTCTAAACAAAACACCCATCGCTCCCCGCTGCTTACACTTTCTTCGAGCACCAGAACTCCACTGGAACTTACGAAAGAGTCGCTGAACATTTTGGCACTATGTAGACCCTTCAATGGCGTCCTCAGTGTGGCATTCTTATCAACTTAACATCAGGGCCCAGTTGATTCTCTATAGCTGTACTCGGCGATCTGTCACTTGTATCCATCAAAACTAGTAGAAAGCATTGTGGCGCTCATGTAAGACGGCTTTAGAAAAATAGCTCTTGTAATTACCAGGCCTCTTGCTTCTCCTCAGGCATGTGGCAAACGCATGACTATGCATGACTCGCCTTGCAGAAACGCGTCTCCCCTTTCACTAGATTACAAGTCATTCTTACGCCACAGCTCGTGTAACAACATAACGTTTCGCACATGGCAATACACGACTTTGAATCTCTGGAATATGGACTGTCCACTTCTGCTTACAAAACAATTGGGATGTTGTACAGGACTTACTCATGCCAATTCACCTATAGATACAAGTCAATAATGAAAGACCATCGTAAGGGCACTGAAAATTGTGGCGGGAAAATTAGCCATCATGAAAACTCTCGGCGCGCCAGCAAGCTAAAAAAAATTGCTGCAAAGCATACATCGAGCCAGAAAACGGCGAAATGCAGGGAACAAAGACTGAGAATGTTTTCCGAAGATACACAACATTTGTGGATCATTATCAGGAATAATACTGCCTCCTTGTAAGCACACCAATGTAGCTCACACAAACTCTTAAAACAGAAAGAAAACTATATTCCATGAGAAGCGAAAGACAGTGATTTACAAGTAGAACTGCGAGTGCAAGTGAATGACCTTGAAATAAATTGGAATTTGTTGTTCCTCTTTGGAAAAATCTTTACTAGATCATTTTCACATTAACTGAAGAGCGTGTTGGTAACATTAACTGGCAACAGAAAGATTAAAACAAACTCGGGACGAAGGACAACAAACATTTGCCGTCCTTCGTCCTGAGTTTGTTTCATTCTTTCTGTTGTCGGTAGATTATCTTTATTGCAAGTGTTTGTACAAGCAGTAAAAGCTTAACACAATTCACTTTACTGTATACATAATCTTTACTATCAATCTTTACTATGTACAGCTTTCCCTAAAATATTTAAACATTGTTTCTTTTCCATCAACACCGAAGGAAAATAAACAATGTTTCGATGCTTGTTGTCTCAGGAAATATTTTTCCCAAGACGATAGACAGCTTTAGAGAGAACATTCAAAAGCTAAATGCTGAAGAAACCAAGTTGAATAATTTGGAGACAATTATGTCCCTGTCTGCCCCTTCCCCCTCCCCCACCTCCCAAAAAAGCAAAAGAAAAGAGGAAGTATGACACAGACAAAGCCAACCCTAAGCCATGCCAAAGGTACTTTTCTAACACCTCGGAAGTATACCAAAATCGTCCTGGGACCTGTGCAGCATCATGATGAAGCCTTATCAGGTGGGCACAGCCGGGAAAAGAATCTCAAACTTTCACTCCAATATGAAACATCATCTTATGTTACGTAGAGTTGGACCCTTCATGATCCTTAGATGACACATTTTTTACATCAGAGACACTAACCATGCCATTCCTCAAGGTTGCACCTCCTCTCCACGGCTGCAATGCTACTTATAGGTAAAGTTGGCGGCGCAAGAAAGACGTGTGGCCACTTAGAAAACGAGATGAATTGCACAAACATTCAGATTGAATTTCAAAAGTTTAAGTGAGCAGGAAAAATAAAGGTGCAACTTAAATATGGAACAGAAGTTGTATAAAAAAAAAAAGGTTTCAATCAATTGATAAAAAGCAAACCACACTTTTGAAGAGACGAATCAACACATTTTACAAGACCACAACTCATATCACCGAAAAGTAAAACTGCTACACATGTACTTGTGCACAGCGGTACCAGACAGAAACCAGACTCTTACAAGAACATAGCTATGCTCACAACTAACTGAATTCTCGCCAAGGTGCTACAGCGAGCCATTCTCTCTAACCATCGTTCTGCAGAAACTCTCCGTGAGGACTTTTGTTTTGTGAGAAGCCACAGCAACAAGACGCATTCCTCGCGGGCTCGAGAAGATGTGGCCGGCAAAAGTGTTCCCCCCTTCCCCTCCCCCAAAGAGATGGTCTAAGTTCGAAACTATGAATGCACTTGAAAAATATCGACAACATTTCTTCTACCGCAAAAACTGAACCACACGTTGCCGAGCACTCGGTCTCAGCCCAAATATAGCGCCAGCGATCTGGACCGGACGGCAAAGCTTTGGGACTTGCTGTCATCCAATTAAAAAGTCATAAGCGATTTTCTGAGATTTTCAACGAGAAAATAAGATTCGTAGCCAGCATCCTCGCCGATACGTGGGCTTCGTCGGCTACAGTTTTCCCCATCAAGGGTTTCCGAAAATCACTCGTATCTTTCGTATCGGATGACGACTAGTTCCAAAAACTTTGCCATCTGGTCTGGACCACTAGACTCCACCCATTTCACTTTAGGTTCGACCATGGCCGATGTTAAGGTACAAACGCAGCCAATCAAGCGTCGCCTAAAGTGAGTCGTCACGACGCTCTCCGTCCTGCGCTTGCTATCAACACCAACGCGCTGGGTGAAGGCGCCGTGATCCTGCGTTTCTTTACGAGCGCGATTGGTTTAACCAATGATGGCAAATCCGCAGAGACGAGTGCCATTACGAGGCACTTTTGAGGCTGCTTCAATGACTCCGTAAAATCGCAGCGTCGGCTACGGCCGAACTTGGTGCGAGACGGGGTATAGCGCTGCATTTGGGCGAAGACTAAGCGTTTGGCGACGCAAAGTTTATTTTTGAGGTGAAGAGAACGCCCCGGCGACATCCCGAAAAGACGGTCCCTGCCGCAGACGGTCGGCCATCAGACTTTTACAGGTCCCTGGGCCGTCGGAACGGCGGACTTCTGCTGGAAGCGGCGGTTACGGAACGCCTCTAGCGCCGCAGAGAGCGCCACCTTCTCCTCGAAGAAACAGACGAGCAGGTCGTCGTTGTGCATGCTGGCGCGGAACTGCTGGAAGCTGATGTTCCAGTGCTCGTCCCACTTGGCCGAAGACACGCTTGCGGCGGTGGTGGACGATGCTGCTCCGTCGTCTGCGACCTGTTTCGACGTTGAGGCACTTTGTTACGGGCACGCTGAATTTCCCAAAAAGCGTATTTCACTCTGACGGTCGTCACTGGCAGGGGCAGAATTACCGATAGGCAGGGTGGGCAGCTTCCTAGGGTAGCAGAAATTTTGGGGCAGCCAATTTGCGACCTCCCCCAAAATAATTGACTTGTATTTTTAAATCTATCTTCGAATTTAGCTACTTTAGAAACTCTAGCTCCAAATCCAGCTAATTTTTAAAATTTCAACTCTAAACTTACCTACTCTCTCTTCCCCCCCCCCCAAGTCCTGCACCCCATCGTCACTGACCATGGGGAGCGGGGGTTGTGGCGTCATAAGGACAAGTGACGTCATGGAATTATGTGACACCACAGTGTCGTGTGATGTCATGGTGCCACGTGACGTTAGTGTCACACAATGTCATGCTGGCACATGACGTCACTTGCCACTGACGCTGTGGTCTAGTACGACGTCAGTGTCACACGATGTCATGCTCTCGCATGACGTGAGAATGTCAAGTGACATCATGCTATCACATGATGTCATGTGACATCACAGTTCCACGTAACGTCATGCCGTCACATGACTTAACAAAGAATCACTATCAAGAATAAAACTAGGGGGCACGTCAGAATCCGGTAAACACAATAATAGATTGCATTATCCCATCTTTACTATCACAGACTCAATGTTCTTTTTTTTATGTATTCAGTCTTTAGAGGAAAAATTTAATGAAGCTGCATTACTGGGGCAGTGCTACGATTTTAAAGTTGACAAAACTTGCACCCTGTATTTTATGCTGCTTATCTAGGCACAAGTGAGAAAAAACGTGCCACTATCCCCCAAAATCTTGCCATTCCGTTGCATAATCGCGGAAAAAAGAATTCACCGTTTGCCGATTCGCAGCACTGTGTGGCGGCTACGGGAACTAAGGTGTCATGCCAGTGGAGTACACGCTGAAGTCAACATAATCGGACCCCTTCTGCCGCCACACTGAATGCCAGCCCCACGGCGAACAGTATTTTGTCTCCATTGCTCCGCGCCGCGACCTTCGGCGACGCTAATCCTAGAAAAGTCGACAATTGCGGAGAGAGCCGCTGGGGGCTCTGAAGACAGAACTTGACGGGAGACCCGGCAATCACCCGGCAACGTCACTCGAAAGACTGCATAAGAGTGGGAGAGCACTCCGACCTTCGATTTGTTCCATTTTTCCAAATAAAAAAACTAGCGTGCGCAAAAAAAAAATGGTACGCGACACAGATTAATTCTCACAGTAAATTGGCCAGAGCCCGAAAATTGTTGCACCGCTCCTTTAACAGCTTCACTCTCACTTCCCTTATCTCGACTATTGAAACAAGAGTTATAAAAGCAGGCTTGACCCTCTGTTTGTCTAAAAATGCATCTCAGCACTGAGATAATGCAAAGTCGGCGCAAAGAGTTATAAATGCAGGCTTGACTCTCTGTCGGTCTAAAAATGCATCTCTGCACCGAGATAATGCAAAGTTAACGCAAAGTGTGTGTAGGCAAGAAGGGGGTCGCATGGGTTGGAACGCTGACACAGTGCTGAAATAGCAGACAGTGAATGCTTTGTCTATAGTTTATGCAGCAGTGTGCGCATGAACAGGGCTATAAAGAGTTGTACTCCAGTTGTAAAAAAAAAGAAAATGTTCAAATAAAAACGGCTGAAGAGCCCACCTCGGCCGAGACGGCGCCGGAGACGTCCCAAGACGCTGCCGAATCTCCGGAGGACATTGCGGTGCCGCTTTTTGCCCTATGCTGTTCCTGATGAAAGAGCTCACCCATCTGCAGCAGCTCCGTACCTGAGCACAAACAGCAAACTTAACGTCATTCAGCAGAAACAGGACACCACCTGTTTCCCAGACGAAACATAATAAAAACTGTCACAGTTATATACAAAAACAAAAAAGGCCCAGAGTTTTTTTGTTTTTTCTGTTCTCCCCAGTTTGAATTGTTGCAATCAATCTTTATTTGTGCGGCTGACATGTTACACGAATGTTGTAAAGAGTCTTCTAGGTACTTACTGAGCTGCTAAGCTGTACAAAATACCTACATGAAGCCAAGGAAAAGACAAGAACAAACACATGTAACCTAAGATTCAAATGTCCCGTCTTTCTTTTATCCTTTTTACATTCATGTGGTTTTTATACACAAGTGAGCAGGTCATAGTAATGATCAGAGTTCAAAATCAACTAGCCACCTTCTCAAGTTGAACATAGTTACAGTTGCGCACACAAGGACAAGGACAGAAAAGAGGAACACGTCTTCTCTGTCCTTGTCCAAGCCTTTCACAACTGCAACATGCTTAAACGAAAAACCAGCTGAACTTGTGAAGGTTGTTGCTAAGCTTCCACTTGTTCGCTCCTAAGATAAGTTAATTTTATTTAACTATACTGTGACCTCCAAAAGTCCAACGTTTACACTGAGATGGCAAGTAAACGACACATTTGACGTAAAATTAAACTTACAGAGGTGCCCAGCTATGCCTAATCAAAGGGACTTGTAAATTTTCTTGCTATGTGCAAATCTCTCTTTTTCAATCACGTATGATTAACACAGGTTGCCAGGACAACATATACTCATGCATGAATTTGGAAAATTTTACAGTAATGTATATACAGTCTATGCTCATTACAACAGACCTGGTTACAACAGACATTGGGATATAACATACCGATTTGTTAAGTTCGGTTGGTTTTCCTCTACATACCATTGACACAACTTCTTATCTGCATACAACATACTCCTCTTACAACAGACCAAAATCTTAGTCAAAATCAAGGTCTGTTATAACGAGCTTAGACTGTATTAACATTCATGGGGTTCCCGTTTCTAAATACGTCACGTGTGCACATGCACCATCCCGCTTTGGAAATTAGGTTTCCTCCTAAGCAAGCAGCTGCGGTATTTGTACATTTTGAAGCGTTGACAGCGGCGGGTTAGCCCCATTGAGCGCGCTTCTCCCCAAGCACCGGAGCTCTGCGGAGAAGCCACAGTCACAAAGGCGAGCTCAGCAGGTGTGGCTTCCCCACAGCGCACCGGTGCTCGGTAAGAAGCGCGCTCAACGGGGCTAACCTGCCGCGATCAACACTTTGAAAAATACGAGTATTGCAGTTAATCTCGAAGCGAGTATCAAATAGCGTATAATTCGCAACTACTATTAAAAAATTTGAATATTTTCACGACACTAAAACTTGAAGTATGAATTGGAACAAATGTAGGATATATTAGACCATCAAACCTAGAGTAAAAACTATAACCAAAACATAGACTGTAAAACATTTTAGCAAGCTCATTCAAGCAAAGAGTTGATCTTCAATGCGATCCAACAGAAGAATAAAAAAGATTTAAAAAATAAAATGCAGTTGCAACATTAACAAAACTGCCTGAAAATGCAAAATCTTGAGCCAGGCTTATAAGTGTCTCAACACCAGTTTACTAATACAAATGCGTAAAATACCTGTAAAAAAGACCTCACCAGTGCACGCCAGAGCATGGTAAAAATCTTGCTCCTGCGGGTGACCGACAAAGAGGTTGTACACGCTCTGCCACATCTGCACAAACTGCTCCTAAAAAAGAAAAGGATGAAAGCAGAGAAACATCAGGTCATGGTTACTGCCAAATTTAAAGTGCGAGAGGATTAAGCAAAAATGCACGCAACACTGCACAACATGAGCTTTAGGTTGGCTATACAAAGACAAAATGCTGTAATGTAAAAAGAGCTACAGTAAACCTCTCCGTCTCTGGGCAACATGGTGCATATAGTACATTCCAATTTAAAGTGCGAGAGGATTAAGCAGAAATGCATGCAACGCTGCACAACATGAGCTTTAGGTTGGCTATACAAAGACAAAATGCTGTAATGTAAAAAGAGCTACAGTAAACCTCTTCATCTCTGGGCAACATGGTATAGTACATTCCTTTCTGCTGCAAAAACGTCTGATAAGTATCTGTTAAGAAAAAGGCAATACAAAAATTGAAGTACAAGTAAAAAGAATTGTGGTATCAGAGTGGTGAGTCCCCGTTTCATGACAATCACCTGATCAGGAACATGTCCTCCATAAGCAACATAAAAAAACTGCTTGTCTTCTTTGAGCAGATTTTGACTATGGATGTAAAGTGGATGTATAGTCATCCATTTCGTAAAAGGTCGGCTTAGATGAGCAATTTACAGAAATAGCTCTTGGATTCAGTTGTAACATGCTTTAGTTACCTGATTCATGTTTGGCAGCACCTTGGACTCTGAGGATTTCGATCCATTCCCCTTAGGGTTTGGGCTGGCACTTTCGGCCCCGCTGTTGACATCTAGCGGAAAAAAACAAAGTACAGTCGCTCGTAAACCCAAAGTCGACCGTATCTAAAACGTTTTTCACTCCATAGGCGCTGTGCGTTCCTTGGTGAACTGGACGCCTGGCAAGTCGACACAAACAGCACCGCTCCAAAAGCTAAAAAAGGAACTGGAATTATATTTTAAAAATAAAATAGAAAAATAAAAATATAAGCAGGCATTGCATAACCATAGAAAATGTGCTCCAAAGTTGTGCACTGCATCTTGGGAATGTTTGTTTTCTTCTCAGTCTCTTACTGAAAAAAAAAAAAAAAAACTTTCAAGGACTGTAAAGTTGTCTGCATCTTGCGCTGGAGTTAAGGTGACGTCAGAACGATGTCAGAACGACGCCGAGCTGATTGGCTCTGATTGAAAGGATAGAGGGTAGACCTCAATGCTAGATGCCTCGATGTCTACCCACTATTTTTTTCAATCGGCCAATAAAAGCTCGGCGTTCTAAGATCCTTGCAACACATGTGCCCCAAGAGCAGATGAACTCGCGTTCCACATGCAGTCGTCGACCTATTCTTCGGACGCCGATAACTCAGACTTGTTTAATATTTCGGCCCTAAAGGAGGAACTGTGATCTACCCGATTGAAATAGTGCACATTCATGACCAATAGACCAACCTTTTTCTGAAAACAGCCATTTATGGGGGGGGGGGGGTGACTTTTACTAAGGCACTACTTATAAACCAACTTCTTTCTGAAAACATCTGTTTTAGGAGGGAGCAACTTATAAAAAGGTATGATTTATAGACCGACTTTTTTCTAAAAACAGCCATTTACAGGGGGGTGCAAGTTATACAAAGGTGCTACTTATAGACCAACTTCTTTCTGAAAGCATCCGTTTTAGATACAAACGTGCGACTTGTGCAGCAACTTTTTTTTCTGAAAACGGCCGTATAGAGTGGGCTGCAACTTCTACAGAGGTGCTGCTTAAAAACACACTTTTCCGAAAACAGCTGTTTTAGGAGGGTGTGACTTACATACAAACCTTCTTTCCGAAAACGGCCGTCACGTAATAGGAAGGTGCGACTCGTACTAAGGTGACACTTGTTGACCGGAAAATCAAAACAGGGTTTTTATTTATTTCCTTTTTTTTAAACTTTTGTTGGTAGAATTTTCTCGAAAGAAGTGTGCAAACGTTACGACTGAGAACGGCTTTTCTCGAAAAATAGCTGCTCGACGTGTTCCTCGCACGTCCCCCCCAAAATCCGTAAAACCCGAGACTGAGTGCTTGTACGGAACAGGTGCCTCCTCCGTCATTTTATGGCATACGACTATGTGCCGAAAATTGGTGTATTAATGAAAAGACGTTCATGGAAAGGGACCGTAAACTCACTGCACGTCGACAAACTGCCAGAGCACGAGACGATTTCAGCGTCCGAACTCCGACACCGCTTGAGCGCTGCGTCCAGGAGCTCGGGATGATGGCGAGGTCTGGGGGTCGGAGATTCGTCGTCGGGTTCGTCCATGGAACTGAAATACTCCTCCGCCTCCGTCGCAACTTCCGTCTTGTCCACTTGAAAAAAAAATTTGTTGCAGTATTACAGAGTTGTTTCACTGCCAATCAACTATATTACTATGGCAATTGCTGTTCAAAAAGACACAGCCACACTATTGGTCAAAAAGTAATACATTAAAAGTGTGCTAATCCTGTTCTTTTAACAGGAAATGCTCTTTGGCTAGGGCAGAGTGGGGCCTTTTGACGACTGGCAGAGGCCTGGCGTCACGGCGGAGACGCTTTATTCGGCGTGAAAATGGTTGTATTCTTCGTCGTTTTTTCTATTCGGTTGTGAGAAATAAATTAAATCCTATCTCAAGCTCATGTGAAGAAAGTGTGACCTGCGCGAGCGGCAGAAGCTTATATTCAAAGTGCAAATGCTGTTTGAGACCTGTCAGTTATTTCCATAGTCTCGTTTCTTTAATTTACTTTTTCGTTTGGCTGTTACAGAAGAATAATTGTCGATCTCACCTTACATACAAGTATTAGGAAAGCAAAGATTGAGCGTGATATCATATGCGATGCTTTTCTCTCCACTTTAGTGTCAAAGCTCTTTTAATTATTTTTTTTGGCAGCTGTACATTTTGCAGACCTTTATATATACCTAGTTTACGTTCTGGTGTCAACATCTTTTCTATGTAGCATGGATTAATAAAAGTTAATGTTTTCTTGACTTCTGCCTTCTCAGCCATAGCTTATAAACCAGGAAATGTCTGAATTGATTTCATCTAGTAGGCACGCATCATATAAAAATAAACACCAAGACTGGCAAGACAAATGGAGCAACTTCAACTGCTGTCTTTATTGAAAAGCAAACCCACTTGGAGAAATTTTGTATCTTTCTTTACAGGTCACAGGGGTTACACATTCTTTTTAGGCTTCTTTTTGTTCTCTACACCAGTTTTGTTATTTGTCTTAGAACCAGAAGATCCCAGTCTGCAAACAAAGAGGCGTCATTTGACAACCGAAACGAGGAGTGTTTCTCTTTGCATGTGATGTAACCCACGTTGCACCCCAACACACAAAAACATCACTGCTCCGTCTTTTTTTTCGGCGTATTTGACATTGTTGTGAATCCCTTGTCTTTTTGGCGCAGCTAGCAGCCACACAATATTGTATCCCTTCAGACATAATGCAAAACGAGAAGAAATAGTCACGCCAACACGCCCCGAGACAGCCTCGCTAAATGCCATCTGACCGGCCTCCTGGCTCCGCTGCGACTGGCACCGCCCACCCCAGGCGACTGCGGCAGAATCAAGCCACACAACACTCAACTTTTACAAAGAAGCCGATGTGGTTGGCACACCTCTCAGTTTTAGTACACCCTAGCCTGGGTGAAAGCGCGGCTGCGAGGCTCCACACCAATTAGTTGACGGGTAGGAGAGAACGAGTGGGTTAGAAGGTTCTGGAAGATCACCAGGTTTATCATTTCAAGTGTACATATGCCACGCATTAAATCCTCCAATGAAGAGCGTCGTGAATGTACCATTCACACAATTCTAACGTGCAGGAAGATTTAGTTTCCAGATATTGAAAAAGCAAATTGCTGCCCATTCTACCGCGCAGCTGAAATAATGAAGATTGAACACGTACCTCAGAGAAGATTTCATGAAATGCACGCCAACACAAAAATAAATACGGTACACCAGTCGCCGTGGTCAGAGTCCGACGATGGTTCTTCACTGTCCGCAGACATAATCTTTGCTTTCGGCGTTTTAGGAGCCGCGCTTCTTGCGCTTGTGCGCGACTGTTGCCTCTGGGAGGGTCATCTTCCAAACAACACTTTGCCAGCTTGTCAGGTCGCTGGGATTGCTAGGCTACGCAGTGCTTCTCCACTGTTCTTTTTTCCCACCAGCATGATGGCCTTTCGTCTAAATAAAGCCTCCTAGTATATATATGTATTTTTTTTTCCATGTTAATACAACAGACAAGTTTGTACACGCGACAGAATGCGACTGGTACGGATACCAAAATGGCGAATGTAAACGAACAGTCACGATGGCGATGGGGCTAGCCACCTGATTACATTTTTCTTTAGAGTTTCAGTTTTCTGTTTCGATTTTAACGCTAATGTAGTTTTGGGCACCGATTTTGGTGAAAAAAAAGCGAGCATTAGGAATGTGCAAACACGGTAGGTGTCCGGCTAAAAACACTAGACATGCTGCCAAACAAGGATATAAACGTTGACGATGCTATAACATTCCATGCATGCAACACAATTGCATAGCAATTTGCCATAAACCTCTAGGAAACATGTCACAGAGTGCACTAAAGTATATTTTTAGTTTACTAATAGTACAATATTAAAGATGTATTTCCGAAACATATGCACTTCAGCTGCTAGACTGGGTCGGCACACAAACCGCACCACCAAAACATGAAGTACACCGAAAGAATCTTAAAAGTACTTTTCGCTTGACAGAAGTACTAAATTAGCATACTTTTAGAGCATTGCTTTTACCGAGGGTGGGGAGGTTGGGCCAGACATTTACGATAGGCTCAAGTATGGCAACGTCACGGGACACGTTAAAACTGGGGCCCCGTTCACGAATCGGAGACGCTTACCCGAGCTTTCCGCGGCGACGGAGTCGGTCTCGTCTTCGGGCGGACAAGTGACCAGGTGCGCCGCAAAGAGGATCCTCAGTCGGTCGTCCATGTCCCCTCGGCAGACGAGGCCGAGCAGACGGCAGAACTCGGCTAGGCTGACCCACCCGTCCCCGTTGTCGTCCAGCAGACGGAACACCTTTGCGGAGAATAGAAAAATAAAGAGGAAAGAATACGTGGGCTCATTGCCGCATCGATGAGATACATTTGCACCGTGTGAGGATGACTCGTACCACAGCTTCCTTGCGCATTTCTGCGCTACATTTTAGGGGTGTGTGAATACCGAATAGTAGTTTTCGTATCGAATACCGAATCAAATTAAGAAAAAAAAGCCGAATATTGAATCGAATATTGAATAGTGATTTTATTTGTAGGAATATTTCAAAGTGTGCTGCGAATGAAATTGTTATATGTGCAGAGTATGCACCTGGTGCCGAATATGGATCTCACACAAAACAAAAGCTCAAATGTATAAAAGTTCTAGTGAACAAAAAGTAAAAAAAAAGCAGCTGCTGATGGACGTTGGGCACTAAAAATCAAATTTTATGGCGCAAACATAATCTATCTACCCTGAACGTCACAAAAAACCCAAAGTTACAGCCATGCGTGCCTTTTTTTCTCGTTAAAAGCTCAACCCAACACCGCAACGTTTTTTGTTTTTTTTTATTTCTGTATATCTCAGAAAAGGGACATTTTGCGATAGTTGGTCTCAATTTTAACGAAGAAAAAGGGCGCCCAGGACTTTATTTCACATAAATAAACAGATAGGTTCTAAATCTGAATAAACACGCCTAAATAATATAATCTGAAGTAAGAAAAAAAAAAAAACACGTGGTTAGGTGGCGCAAGTCGCCGTTCAACTGCCGCTATGCATCCATTCCTCTGCCCATCTATCCTGTTTTAGAGAGCCTGGATTTAAGAGAGGGAGCAAGCGAAACTGAAACCATGAAGACGGATCCAGCGCAGATAAGTCGTAAGCAGTGGCGTCACAAAGGGGGGGGGGGGGGGGGGGGGCGGTTTTGTGAGACAGGCTAGTCTCAAGAGACACGCTTCCGAGTTTCGGCAACCCTAATCGCTTACCCTCTGGCCCAGGTGTCTTGAGCGCTCTCCGATGCCCCAGGGGCCCAGTGCTCCGAAGAAGGGCACAAACTGCTCCAGGTCCAGATGGAACTGCTCCCCGTACGTGAACATGGGGTCGTTGGGGGGAGACGCAGGGCCACGACCCCAGCTGTGCTGCGACAGCTGCTGCTCCTGCAGTCGAGCAACAACGGGCAGTCAGAACCCGAATTCGAGCAAACACGGGTGGTCGGCTCCCGAAGTCGAGCGACGACGGGTAGTACGCTCGCAAAGTCCAGCAACAATGGGCAAGATGGCACTGGCTGTCGGTGCACATCGTGTCCGTACCTGCTGAAATCAGCTGTGCAAAAACTTTATGGCGAATTGCTAGGCAATGTTATCGCATACGTGAAACGTCCTGGCTTCAGAAACGTTTAGTGACACACCCAATTTCCAGACCCAGACGCGTACGTTCACAGCGCTCTTCATGAGATAGTTTAACGTGTGCATGTGTACACATGAAAGTTGTTCCTAAAATGAAGCTATACTTCCGCTAATCAGGCTGATAAACCTGGCGATCTTCCAGAGCCTTCCATGCTCTCCAGCTCCTCTTTCCCCGTGCACACAGGTGGTGGAGCTTCTCCTTGCCTACCCTTCTGGTCACCTAACCTCCCCGTTGACGAATCAGCATCGAGCACTTCGCCCCCTGTCCCACCCATCAACCAATCAGTGTCGAGCTTTGCGGCTGCACGAAATACCAACCACCTAGCCAAAGAATGTGTCACGTTAAAATTCATAATCCACCACTTTCGCCTTTCAGGAAGCATTGGCTTGTTCTGAAGTCTAGCTAAAGACTACTCGAAACAAAATACAAATTGAGCTTGTAGGTATAAATCAACAAAAAAAGTTCTGGTTGACAAATTTTTCATTTTTCAAGGTGATAATGGTCAATGTGTTACGATAACGTCTGCCACATAAATATATAAAAATCCAGAAGGTTCGACAACCATGGCAGTGACACGGGTTGCCCGGACGCAAAACAGCGGAGAAAGATAGTATCTCACCCTGATGAGAGCCACGAGATCCAAAAGCTCCTTTTGCGTCATGTATGACGAGATGCTGGCATCCAGGCTCAGACTCCGAAGCACGTTTTTCATGGTTGTGTCCTGGAGGCCCTGTGTCCAAGTGTGAAGTCACATTGAGCCAATCCGGTCGTCTCACACATCACACACCCAGACGCATGCAATGACAAGAACGAGAGCAAGAATGCTACATATCAGTCTTGCAATGCTAAATTTTTTTAAAAATGTGCATTTAGGCAACGTTTTACACGCCCCTCCTATTGATACTTATTCTGCTTCACGTTACGGAGCGTCTGGCAAAGGGATCACTTCTGGATTTGAACATCAGCAATAAAATCAACAGATAGATTGAAACGCGTACATAAACTGATGCATTACAACCCAAACAAAACACGAGACCTTACTTCGTAACTTCAACGAGATGTTCGAGCATAGGGTAACACACTAGAGCGAAAGAAGAGCTACATTGCTGGAGCTTTTTGCTTTTTATCTTAAGGAAACAAAAACATTTAGAAGCTCTACTACCGTAAAATCCCGAGAGATGTCCCACCCCCGAAAGGTAACCCACCCCTATTTTTGGCTTGATTTGCTATTTTCTTCTAAAAACCGAAAGATAGCCCACTCCTAGTAATCATAGTGTTTGGCTCAATGATGACTTTGGTGTAAATGGAGCTAGTTAGCAATGGCGGGATATAAGCGAACATTCCTGACTGGGAAGCGCCACTATCTTTGCTTCCTTGCCCCTTGGCGCGATAACAAGTTTGACAGAGGCACAGGATTTAAAAACAGCCTTTTTTTCAACCTTTCTCGACTCCACACTGAAAGTTAGCCTGCTCCTTATTTTCACCCAATTTTCTCACGATTTTGGATGGGCCATCTCTCGAGATTTTACGGTAGGTAGTAAATCTATGAATACGCAGCAAGTGGACCTAAGAGTTCTGCAGAGGCGAGTTCAGGGGTGTGAATGACATTGCCCGAACGTACCTGCACAACGCTGAGCCTATGTTTGATACGAAGCTTCTCGATCATGCCGGACGTCAGGAAGCCGTACTTGCTGTACGACTCGTAAACGAGCGTCGAGATCTCGACAGGCTCCTGCAAAGATGAAATGCGAAAACATTGTTCTTGTGCGACCAAAACCAACAGCGCTTGCGCCGTTAGCTCCTATAATTCCAGGAGACCATGCAGACATAAGTCATAGGAAACGATAAGGTCTAACGAAAAATTATACGAGGACGTTTCTGAAAAGTGTTGCTATACCAAGATCCGACACCATTAGCTACCTAGTGTCAGTCTTGCACACATTACTCAATTACAATTACTCTTGCTTATAAAGGATTCAATAAGATGATACCGTACTTACTCGCATAATGAACACACATTTTTCCCAAAAAATTAGCAGATAAATTTGAGGTTCATTACGCAGTGTAAAATTTTTGTATTTACACACTTGCTGCAAATGTCATATTAGGTGCCAATATGACACAGCAAGGTACCGTGGCACGTCTCCACTGATAGAGGCGCAGCCACAGCTGGTCGGGGGCAGACCACACTAACCATGCTCTATAAAATGCAAACCTTTTTTAGGGCACTTTTGGCGTGCCTTTTGCTGAAGAAAAAGCGCCCTACGAAGCTCACTCAGCACGCAGAGCGATGCGACCGTTCTTAGGCCTAACCACTTTCACTCGCTGTCCGAAAGCGGACCACAGACGACGGCGTGTTTGTTGACATCAACGCATCTGATAGGCGAAGGATGTCTGGGGCTGGGCAATTCCTCAACCCAGCTTCGTCAAGTGTGCGCGCCGCTCGCTTTCATGATTCATCACTTCCAAAACTACACACTTGTAGCCATTACGAGAGTGGCTTGGCTTGGCTTGGCTTGGCTTGACTTGGTTTGACTGCTTGGTGGCAAAAGAAAATTGACTTGGTGAGTTGGACTCAATTCGAGACTTGCAGAGCCGAAAATTGGAGCTGCGTTCATCACGGGATGGGAAAAAAAAAGAGCCCAAATATTGGTACCCGTTGTGGGGGGTCCGTTCATTATGCGGGTGCGTTCATTATGAGAGTAAATACGGTACTCTATTACTTTAAAAGAAAACCAATCGGTCGTTACCTGAAAAAGTAACCGTTACTTCTCCGACTATTTCAGATTTTCAAAACGCAAAGTTTCCTGCCAGTTTGAAAACGGTTATTTCGTACTGTCCTTCATGGGATTAGAATCACCAAATTATAAACTACTTTTCTTCTTGATCCACCAATTTTGATAAACCATCCTCTGTCAGAGATATAATTTGAGGATTCCTCGCTAGGAAATTTGTACAAAGAGCACCATTAGAAGGAGAGAGGAAAAAAAAAGTGAAGGTTACAAGTTATTTTAGTACTTCCAAAAGTAATCAGATTACTGCTGAGATTACTCCCTAACAAATGTAATAAAATAATTACAAAACTACTTCAAAGAATAATCGATTACAAGCGATTTGACTACTCAAAATGACTACCGCAAAAGTCTCGCTAACGCTAATACAGTAGCTCGAAAGTGTCACTACACCAAGAGCTAGGGTTGATTACGCTAGCACTAAAGTGTTACAACTACAAGAGCCAACATTGGCAGAAACGACGACATGGCCTCGACCGTAGGCCTGCTATGCACGGTCGAAAACGGCGCTTAGGAAGCCAACAGGGGCGGTGACCTTTCCAGAAGCGGGTATCTGCCGGGCGCAAACCGTGGCCATCGGGTTGTGGATGTTCTCGAGGTACTCGCAGAGCGCCATCATGGCCTCCCCGTCGTCCTTGCACCGCAGCAGCCGCTCCTGGTTGGCTTCCAGCACCGCCAGCGCCACTTGGAACACCACCTGGCCACGTTGGCAAAAAGTATAGCAACAAATCGCAAACTCGAAGCAGACGCACAAATTCTTTTTACGGGCTCGACCACGCCAACAGGGCATAGAATGTGTCAATTACATATCACACTCTGTGCAACGTGTGTGCTAGATTCTTTTTTCTTTTAACGTGAGTTGCTCCGGATTTCGTGCAGCTGCATTTCGTGAAGCAGTGACCAGCGACGTCCCATAACGCAACGAGCGCAGTGCAACATCATGGGACGTCACAGACTCACACACCAATTCAGTATCTGCTAGATTTAGCAGGGAAGTTGAATTCGTGTACAGGCAGGATATGTCACTTTACTCGCTAAAATTAGCAGGAACACTCATGTCCCGTGACGTACAGACAAATTCAGTTGCCTCGATAAATTTAGCAGGGAAATTGACGTCGCACTGCGTGATGTCACAGATGCTAGAACATTTCACGAATGCAACACAATTGCCCAGCAATTTGCCATACAATTTTTACTACCTACGCTTCCATCTTTTTTGTTTTATTATCTCTGATTTTACGAAGTTTATTCCCATTTCTTTTTATTATTTAATTTTTACTCATTTATTAATACAAATTGATGCAAATAAAATTGTTTCCTCTCCCAGGGCAGCTGTGCCACGCAGCACAGTGACTATGCTGTCCGACTGCCACTGCATGGGCCCAGGCTGGAGCCCCGGTGGGACGTCTTTCTTACGTCGATTTGACTCGGGTCTTGGCGAGCTTTATATAAAACCTTGACGAAGCGCGACGCACCCAGCGCGTCACTCGTTCACGACACTTGCCCCACGACGGTTGTCCACGACTATTTTCTCGTAGAAAACGGCGCGTGAATGCATTCCGCGTTAAAAGGAGGCCTTCTTTACGCATCTCCGAAAGGTGTTCTAAATGTGCGGCGTTTAGAACACCTTCGTTCGTGTATGCCCAAAACCGGTCTTCTGTCGCGCATGTTACATGGCGTGCCAAACCGATTGTTTGCGCACTGTTGTGCCCGTCCCTCCCCAGGTGGCGCAACTCTTTCAGCCATTCACTGCTGGCACTTGGACTCCTACGTGGAATCTCTGGTTCAAGCCCGACGCTTTGGCAATCGAGTAGCGAGCATAGGAAAGTAGAAGCGCCAAAGGAAAGTACTTTGGCACTAACTAATGGCCTGGAGCAGAGCCGCGTTAGGCAAGTAGGATTGCCCCTGGCCCCGACACAAGCCTCGCAGGCAAGAGCCTTTGTAGTGCGTGCAGTCTGCTCTGCCGCCACCGAAGAAGCGCAAAAAAAGAAAATCCCCGCTCCAAGAGTGCTCGCACACTCTGCGTGCAATCGGCGAGAAAAGTACAGGTACAGTGTTCAAAATTGAGGACAATGAGGGCGGTAACCTCCGGCTCAAGCACCGTGTGCACGGCAAGTGTGCCCGATAAAGCATGAGCAACTTTTTGTGAAACACGAGAGAAGACGGGCAAGGCGTCGGCTGCCACTGACCTTGGCGCCGTCGTAGAAGAAGCAGTCCACAATGCTGACGGCGCATTCGAAGGGGATTACGCTGGAGGAGACAAAATTTTCTAATGTTACGCTCCGCAGTCGGAAAAGACGCGATTCGAGGTGGCCGGGAAACTGTCTAGTTTGCCGCGGTGGAGACAGCTGATTTGCTGTCTTATTTTTTTGTGAGTATTTCTTTTTATGTCTCCCTCCACCATTTCCCCCTACTTGAACTGGAACGGTATGTGATAACCTAATTGAAAGTAACTATACTCTGTTGCAGGTTTAGAAGAGCAGGACACGACCCTCCCACCACAAAGCTCTCCACTTGCCATGGTAGGATGTTTCCTCTTCTCCAGAATTCACCTTCTACTAAAATGGAAGGAGTGGAAAGCTTTGTGGAACGTGCTTGTCCCACTGCTCTTAGCCTGCAATAGACTATGCACACAATCAAGATGTCCAGTACAATTGTGTTTACGAAATCCCGATGCACAAAAACATAATGTCCTGGTCTTCTGAAGAAAACAATATGCCTCAAAGAAAGGACACAAGACAGTAACGTCCTTTTTAATCACTCTCAACTCCTAAACTCCTTGGCTGAAATGTGCCATTCCACAAATATTCACAGCTGATAGGACTTCCTCGAAAATTCCAGAGGGAGTTTATTTGCAAAAAAACCACCCTTAGAGTAGGCAGTTTTCTCTGAAAGCCTTCGACCTTTTCTAGGAGGTAGTGGTGTAGCGAGAAAATATTTTCGGGGGGTGTTTCAAGGTGCTGGTGCAATCACACAAACAATAAAAAAAAATATATATACATATATATACAGTATAGTAAAATTTCGGGGGGTGTTCCGACACCTGCTAGAAGGCTTACGCGCCTGCTAGAAGGCCTTTGACTTGGCCTAGAGAGTCCTCGACTATCCCTAGAAGGTCATTAACTTCCATTAGAAAGCCTTTAACTTTCTTTAAAAAGCCTTTGAGTTTCGTAGAAGGCTTTCAACTTTTCCTAGAAAATATGAATTTCTTTAGGCCTTTGACTTTCCCTAGAAAGCTTTTGACGTCCCTTGGAAGCCTTTAATTTTCCCTGGAAGACCTTTCACTTTCCCTGGAAAGCATTTGACTTTCCCTAGAAGACTTGCAACTTTCGCTAGAAGGCCTTCTGCCAACATACCTGAGAAAGATGGTGAGGAACCATGAGAGGGAAATCATGGACAGAACTCCCAGGCAGTCCAGCTTGTTGTACAGATCTGGCACATGGTCCTTGGCCAAGTCTTCTAGGACCCCTAAAGATTGAACAAGCCAAAAACGTCCAGTAGGTCTAGGGTATCATGCATTTGCATTCTCTGCATGCCAGGTCTTTTTGGTGCACTTTCGAAACGGTCTTGGAGGCTACCAAAGACAATGGTCTGACTGGTGACTTTCAGAACAATGAGTCGGACCAAACTTTTGTCAATTTCAACTCTATCAAGAACCTGGTTCTCGTGTGTCAGAACTAACAAAAAATTCTGGTAATAATCTGACACTAAACCATCAAATTCTGTATCTCAAAACATTTGAGCTACCATAACTAAGATTGACAATTAAATGACACTTGGTAGCCACCCTTATCTCCAGTCCATTAATCACAGAATGCAGCCTTTAAGGAGCGATCATTTCAATGTGCTTAGAACACATTAAATGTGACGCGACATTATGCTGCCAAGCCAGATGCCACATAACAAGACGTCATGATGCCACGTGACACCACGAGATCATCTGACCAAACATCACAGCCTCAAGTCGTGGTGCCATGCCACAATGCCAAATGACACGCCATTTGTTCACGTGACGTGACGTAACATCACAATGTCAAGTTGTGGCATCACGTGACCGGCGTCCGTGTTTACCGTATAACACTGCCTAATCTTACACGGGGTACACACGGATGCAAGAAAGGACAAACTTCCAAAAGCTTAGCTTCCGTTATAAGGCATTCTGTGCATAATAGAACGTCTAAACTGACACCGTCTAACTTTGCGGCGAGGACCACACCTCGATTCCGTCAACACCACCGCATACCTTGATCGATGAGTGCTCCGACCACCTTGGTGTTGTAGTAGTCCGGGAGCAGGCGCTCACACAGTGCCACCAAGAGCCAGAAGGCCTCTTCTTCTGAGGCGTACAGTAGCAATACAGACGCCACTATGTTCATGGCCTGGCAGTATCCTGCAAGGGCGTTTCGCCATGAGTACGCTTAAGCTTTGTGCTTGCTCGAGTCTCCAAAATCAGGTTGCGCGAGGATCGTGCAAACACTGTAGATTTCCTAGAGTGCGTTGACGAGTGTTCCCTCGTAGAGAAACTCATATATTTTGACGCCAGGAAAAATAACAAACGTGCAGAAAAGTCGTGATGCGAGCTGTGGCTTTTTGCTCGTTCTGGAGACAGACATTGCTGCTTTTTCCGTACTAATTTCGGTCGACTTAGAAAACGCAAGATGACCAACTGCCGGCTAATGAGGAGGCCAATAGTGAAGACAAATGTGTTACAGTATTCTCCATATTCTAACACAGTAGAAGTGTTTGAATAACTCACTTTTAACAGCCCCACAAAAAAGCCTCTACAGTTACGATGGATGTTTACAGGCAAAAAAATGTCAAATTCCTCGTAAAATTTAACCTGTACTGACGCAAACCATGAAGCGAAAATAATTTTCATACAAACAAAATTTTGCATGTGTTGTCCCCAGGTTATGCATTAACAAATTCAAGAAGATAATTAAAACATCAATATTCTATAAATCACCACACTTCCTTAAAAAAAAAAAAAAATTTCTTAGAAGAGTGACATTAGTAATGCATCAATGGCAGAAAATTAAACCAGAAAAACACTTCAAACATTGAAATTCTATAAGCTACTAGACACGTCTAGAAAACACAAAAACCAGAACGTGCCAGGGAAGTGGCATCGGCCGCCTACCAATGGCAGGGTTGCGCCAGGCGTAGGCGTTCAGCACGCGCCGCAGGGCGTTGATCCCGGAGGGGCTCTGAAACGCGGGGTGCTCGGGCAGGGAACGGTGCAGGTCCCGCTCAATCTCGTCCGCCGTGAGAGTCCGCTTGCCCGTACTCTCCTCCACTGCCTTCCGGTAGTACCCCGGATTCGCCTCCATCTTTGAGAGAAAGACGCGGCTACGATGACACCCTCCCCCCAAAAAAGCTCAAAGTGAAATTCTAAAGGCTGGTTCGCACATTTGCGCTTGAGTGGGATCGACTTTGTTGCAACCGCTTGCGACTGTCAGTGAAGAGCGGCGCCACCTACAGGCAAACCTGGAACACTCCCAAAGTGTTCCAGGTTTGCCTGTAGTTATTTTGCAGTGTCGGTGACATAAACTCTACGCACTATTTACGAGAAATGGTCGCTCGTAGCGCTTGAGATTATTTGAAGCCTACGGGGAAAGAATGGTGCGTCGAAAAATTGAGAAATACGTATGCACACCATAAGTGTTCCACTTAAGACGGTGCCAGCGCGTTTCCTTAGCGAAAGTAGTCACAAGTAGGCACAACACGCCCTGTTGCACAGAAACAACTATGTACGACCCAGCCCCAAATTTGAGTCGTTCGGCACAATTCGGCACTGTTGCTAGTGTACGTTTTCGTACGTTGGCTTCCTTGCGACACACCTGCTGCCTATTGTGCTGCCACGCATTCCACGAGTTGGCTTTACTGCAGCGCAGCGGCAAAGCGATGCAGAGCCGACGCGACATCACGTAACGCCACGACCCGATACCATAGCATTCTGTGACGTCTGCTGCTTTCTACACACGTTTAAACAATCGCCCTTTAAATGCTGCGTTTCGTGCAGCGTAGGACTTTGGAATGAAGGTTGCCGCTGATTTCTACTTTATTCGGAAGTGTGTAAAGTAAACCGGAGAGATTTGGGACAGTAAACAATGTCGGTAAGTTAATTAAGTTAGAGGAAACTCGCGGGCAAGGGACACCTTGTTACCTCATTTATGGCGCCCGAGTAAAGCATCCACAGCTCTCCCCTCAGACTGTCAGGAATTCCAGCCAACACCAGCTCCTGCGCTTTGCTGGTACGGTAGGTGCAGATGCCCCTGTGATATATCCACTCACTGTTATCACTAATGCCACGCGGGCACACTGAGAACATAATGTTTGTGACGTTAAGCGAAAAATTGGGCCTAGCCTTGTTCTGCAATTCTTGCTGATACCTTATGAAAAATTCCCTCAGTGGATTTGGATCACTTCTTCACTATTATCTTCTTGGGCGTGCAAATGTGCACTTGCATGTACCATACTAAAGGCGTGAGCATGGAGACCTTATGGATTGCTCCAAATCCACCAAGACAAAGCCACCAAGACAAAGCATGGGTCAGAAGTTTCACAAGAATGCAAAGCACAGGTAGTCCATAAGGATAGGAAAAAACAGCATAAAGGACCACACAGGTCCAGAAAACATGTCAAGGGTCCACAAAATCCAGAACAGATGTCAAGAGTTCACATAGATGCAAGGCATAAGTCGAGTTGACAAAGATCCAAGGCAAGAGTCCACAAGGATTCAAGGCATAAGTCGAGAGTCCACAAACATCTAAAGCATGAGTCAACAGTCCACAAAATTCCACAGAAAAGATTCACGAAATATACAGCTACATAAGCCTAAAGCACAGGTCAAGGTTTGAAAAAGAACTAAAGCATGGGCTAAAAGCCCCAAAAGAATCCGATGTGCAAAGCAAGAGCTCACAAAGGTCCAGAGCACAGGTCAGGGGCCCAGAGAGATCAAAAGATCAAATAAACAGCGAACAAAGGTCCAAATTACAGACGACGGGTTCTCAAAGCACCTACCTGCCGTACTCTGCAAAGTGTTCTTCCCACTGCTTTTCCTTGAGCACTTCGGCCGCCTCAGCCTCTTTGGATCGTGGCAGCTCAAAGCACTTCGCCAGAGATCCTTCGAGCTTCCAAGGGGTCTCCGGACCTGAGCGCAAGGTCCAATTCGAATAAGCCTTGAAGTTTGAACGAATACAATTTCGAGCACGGTCAAAGTAAAGGATTAAATCCAAGTTAATAATGAAAAAAAAAAAAAAAAAAATCTGCCTAGGTGGCAGATGCCTAGGTGGCAGGTGTACCGTAGAATATCGAGCAAGCGCCCACTAAAAATTTTGAAAAGAATAACGAAAAAATGGGGAATGGGCGCTTGTCCAGTCATCAATTTTAGGTATAAATATACTGTGCGTCTTTTCTTGGATCTTACAAATTTGGGAATGGGGGCTTAGGGTGGAATGGGCGGATGAGCGGTATTCTACCGTATGTCGCTACTACAACCCCACCACCCCCAAAAAAATGTTCAAAGGAATATTTTAGTTGCAAAACTCATTTTGAGTACCGTATATTGCCGTTTGTAATTTGACCTTTTCAGAAATAAATATCTAAAAAATGTGTAGCTAAAAAAACATATACAGTAAAAAGTTTTTTTTAATGAGAGTCTGCAGAGCCCTTGGGGTCCGCGATGGCATTCCAGGGGTCCGCGAAGCATTGCCTCACGAGTCAAAACCCGGCAATAAAAGATGTCTTTATTCAGATTGAGAAAAAACGTTCCAATTTTCCGGCGCGTTTTCTCGTGTATGTCAATAAGCGAAGTCTATTTTACATAGCCCTTTGTTATATCCACTTATTAAATCATTATCAGAATTAACCTACACCTTTCCCTTCACCCCACCACAAACAAGGTCCTCCAACATCTCCGTCGATCTACAAAGAGTCCGCGAAACATCAATTATTGAGAACTTGAGAACCACTGAATTAGAATTTGGGGGTGTTTAGGCCTATCCTTGGGGTTGACCTTTACGCGGCAATATACGGTAGTACATGTACCATGCAAGTGTTTTCAAGAGATAAAATGAAACTACTAGGCATGTATTTGATTACAAGAAAAATGAAAACAAAAACTTGGCTCACAAGATGCCGACTTGGGACTGCCATCTCCACAGTGGCCGACGCTAAAAAGAACACACAAGTGAACCTGTAAAACTTTGTGGCAAAACGACACTCTGTGGCTCACTCGGTGTTCAAATTAAAAAGTGTTTTGTCCAAGCACTTCTGGTCCTGGTGCATTCATTACTGTTTACGCTATTTCAATAAAAGAATTGGATGCCTGTGTTAATAATTTATTTACTCCATGTTTTGATTTCATATCAAGCAGTAACAGAGGAAAAAAACGACGACGACGACGAGGTTAGCATCCTGTCCTGATACCTGCTCCTGATCTGAATTAATCTAAGTACTCTGCAGTTTGTTCTATTAGCCTGTTTTATAACACTGATACGAACAGAAAAGGCCGGCAGTCCTCTAGGGTGGATTTTGGATGGCCTAGCCATCTGCCTTCAACCCAGTGAGGCATGTCCTTGCCTGTTCCGCTGGGCGACCTTCCGCCTGTTCTATCTCCTGCGCTTCTGACCAATGATGTTTTGGGGAACGGACCGCCTGTCTCACAAGACAGTGCCCAGCCCACTCCAATCAATGCGACGATCCCGATCAACGGAGGTCCCAGCATACCTTCAGCGCTGCCTCATGAAGAGCAATCAAGCGATATGCCGTACCAGGAGGTCACCTCAGGTAAACGGAAACGTTGCAGAGACATCGACACGAAGTCGAAGCCGACCACCGGTCTCGTCGTCCTGTTTACCCCGGCCGATCCGACAGTGAGCGTCGAATCCATCAATTCACTGCGCCTCTCGGACACCTTCCAGGAACTGGCGCCTTCCTGCATTATTGAGGTGCGCCCAAACAAGTGGAAAAACGTGATTGCCGTTGACACCCGAAACGGTCAGACCACGCAATTGCTCTTGAAGTTGACCACCCTTTGCGGTATAAAAGTACGAGCTTTTGAACCAAGGGGGAAGACCTCCAGTGTCGGTGTTATTCACGACGTTGATCCAGAACTTACTGACGCCGTGTTACTTGCGTCTATGCGCTCAGACGCGCCCATAAAGGAGGTACGCCGTCTTGGCAAGTCGCGCACCGTTCGTATTGAATTTCAATCACCGACGCTGCCAGAACATGCCTATGTTGGATTGGTCCGACACCAAGTCACTCTGCATGTCAACAGCCCTTTGCAGTGCAAGAAATGTGGTCATTTTGGCCACGTGTCTGCGTCGTGCAAGCGAGAGGTACAATGTCTCCGGTGCTCAAAGCCACACTCCACTGACAAATGCGACGCCCCCAGCCCGTGCTGCATTAACTGTAAGAAATCCCACGAAACAACGTCAATGCGTTGCTCCCAGTGGCAGAAACAGCGAAGTATCTGCCGCTATAGTTGCGAGAATAACATCCCCTTTGCTGAAGCTCGAGCTGAGGTCAACAAGAGTCACGGAAGCAAGGCTAATGTATCTAAGCAAACCCTGCAAGAAGACCCAGCAGCAACTGGGGACCTTGCCTCCTCGGACAAGCCACGGCATCCGAGACGTTCCAGACGTCGCTCGTCAGACCACCGACAACCATCATCGCAAGATCCTGCTGAAGAGAAGGTGAGCTCCATGGAAACAGAGATGCCTACCAACGATGTCTGTTCTGTGTCGGCCCCGGTTCTGGTATCAATTCCAGAACTAAACCTTCCACACACCTACGCCGAGGCACTACGCAGTGAGCCTAGGCTACCTACAGCTGCTACTGCCTCTGCTCAAATACCTCTAGCTCCTGAAGCATCACATTGCAGAACAGCTTCTGAAGGCCCACGCAGTACAACGCTGTCCGCCTTGATTCGCCTTGCGATTTCCACAGCACGGGAATTTATTTCCATCATGGCGTTCCCAGGGGCGCGTACACTGCTGCAAATTCTCTCCTTCATTGAGCCACTTGTCGACAGCATTCTAAAATGAACCCAACTTATATATTTTTTTCCTAATAACAATTCAACATTTATCTTCATACACGTACAGCGTGGCAACACAGGTAAAGAATAAAGCCAAGCCGATCATACCTACAGTTCTACAGTGGAATGCTCGTGGCCTTCGAACACGTCTCCCTGACCTCAGACAGCATCTCTTCCTGAATCCTGTGGACGTTCTTGCCATACAAGAGCCATTAACGCAACCTGGGGACTTTAGACTCTCACCATACGTGATTTACAGCAGTGCGCCGGCGCTAGCAAATGGACGAAGCCGAGCGCTACTGCTGGTGAAAGCTGGACTCTCGCATAACCACGTCGATCTCTCTGCGTTTTCCTCACACAGCGCAGAATACGTGGCCGCCACGATTCGCGTTCGTGGGGTGGAGTTCACAGTGGTGTCTGTGTACGTGGCTCCGGGTTCCACATCCGACTGGGACGCAAGAATCTTGAGGGACATAGCCCGTCAATGTCCCGGCAGACTTTTATTTTGCGGGGACTTCAACGCCCACAATACCACATGGGGTGATAATCGGACCACACCAAGGGGGTCAGCACTTGAGGAGGTTACCACCTCCCTTGGCCTGGAGGCCCTTAACGACGGCTCTGAAACATTTGTCCGTCAGGGTGTCCACGGCAGTGTTCTAGATCTGACCTTCGCACCACGGGACATTGCAGCCTCTTGGACAGTAATGGCAGACACGTGGGGGAGCGATCATGTCCCAATCATGGTAGTATCACCTCATACGAGAACCAGGAAGTACAAGAAGTACGAAGTCACACACTGGGATCTATTCCGCCAACATCTCAGCAAAGCCCTGAAACATGGACCAATGAACGATCTTGGCACAGCAATCACGAACGCCCTCAGCCTATCAACGAGAACAGTCAATTTGCCAATCCAAAGGCCTGCACCGGATTTGGAATACCTCAACTTGCGCGCTGCTCGCAGGAGAGCCCAGCGGAAAGCTCGCCGAACGAACATTGCAGCTGACTGGCAGCACCACCGGAAGCTTGACGCGAAATTTCGCCGACATACGACACGACTTCAACGTAAGCAATGGAACCAGCTATGCGCCTCTTTCGCATCCCCAGGAGGCCTCACTAAAGCGTGGAAAATAGCCAGAGCACTCTCTGCGGAAAAAGTGCCGACACACCCTACTGCTGGACTCGCCATTTCTCTACAGCTAACACTAGAGGCGACTGCAGAGCTCCTTGCCGACGAATTTTCTAGAAATATCCCGTCACCTGCGGGGTATCGTCCCTTCACCATCTCACCCCCAGATGGCCCTCCTCCTATTTATTTTGACACGGATTTTACAGTTGACGAGCTGAAGGCAGCCCTTGTGCAATGCACGCGCCGCAGTGCTCCAGGACCAGACGGTGTCACGTATCAAGCCCTACGCAACATTGACGAGTGTCATTACCCTAATCTTCTTCAGGCGCTCAATCAAGTGTGGCAAACTTCAGAGATTCCCGATGCCTGGAAGCTCTCGCACGTGATACCAATACCCAAGTCTGGCAAACCGCTCACGTCACCCGAGTCGTATAGACCAATTTCACTGACCAGCAGCGTTGGAAAGCTTCTCGAAAGGCTAGTCCTCAGGCGCCTAACTTGGCATCTGGACGCAACAAAGGCTCTACCTGGTCAACTTTCTGGATTCAGAAGACACCGCTGCACAGCGGATGCTATCTGCGATATTGTATCTGCCCTGGAAGAGGCCCGCGCGACCCGCCAAGTGATGTACTGCGTGTTTTTGGACATACGCAAAGCATTTGATGCTTTACCTCATGACACAATTCTTCACCAACTCAGCAATTTTGGAATATCAGGCCGGGCTTATAACTACATCCGCGCCTTCCTTCAAAACCGATCATTTGTCGTCAAAGTCCTCAATGCCACGAGTACCCCAAGACATGTCACACAGGGAGTACCGCAAGGGAGTGTGATTAGCCCGTTTCTCTTTAACTTGGCGATGGCATCCCTTCCTGGAATCATACCACAAACAGACAACCCTCTGGATCCGCGCGTCAATATTGCAATATATGCAGACGATGTGGCAATATGGGCGGTAGGAACCACGGATAAGGCAAAACTCACCGGCCAAACTTTGCAGGTAGCGCTGGACAAAACGGTGGCAGAAATTTCGCGCCTTGGATTGACCCTATCCGCACAAAAATCAACCCTGCTTTTCAGCCACCCTACCTATGCAAGACAGACTCATCATATCCTTATTGAAGGCACTGAGGTGACAAGAGAGAAAACGCACCTCTACCTTGGGCATCTTATTGATGAGACGGGGAGTTGGCGACCAGCAGTAAAACGACTTCTCATGCAGTGCCGGCAACTACTAGGCCTACTGAGAAAATTCCGTGCCCACAGTCAGCAGGGCCTTCCTCCCAACGGGTTGCTCACCCTCTACAAAGGCCTTATAAAGTCGAAATTTCTCTATTCGCTACCTCTTGCAAACATCCGCGGTCCACAGAGAGACCAGCTGGAAAGGTTTCACAGAGTTGCATTACGCCTCTGTTTGGGATTACCCTCCAACTCCCCGAATATACCTACTCTCGTAGAGGCAAGAGAACAACCGCTATTCCTCAAGGGAGAGGAGAGCAGCAAAAGGCACCTAATTCGCATTCATGTGGCGCTATCTACTGATTATCTTCTGATGAATCTCCACTCGAGGTCCTCGTCACACTTCGGCCGAATCGCTGCAGAGTTCACGAATGAGATCGGTGACCCTGGACCTCGGTTCCCCATCCGCCCACCCCACTCGACAGAACCACCTCTCAACGTGCAGGGATCACTCCCCGACGTCCGGGCGAGAAAAGACGTTCATCCAGTTGTCGCACGCACTGCTGTGGCAGTAGCACTTGAGGAGAAGTACGCCAGCAGCCTTGAAATATATACAGATGGTTCCGTAAATAGAAGCGCAGGTACGGCAACCGCCGCTTACGTGATTCCATCCATTGGGAAAGAATACGCCGTCCGTATAAACCTTGAAACATCGTCCACGACTGCGGAAATGGTCGCTATACTCTTGGCCCTGGAATACCTTAGGACCACCGAGTGGATGACCGCTGCGGTAATATTAACGGACTCCCGCACGGCCTTGCGCAATTTAGCCAATGCCGGCGAGGGATCACTGCTCGCTCAAGAAACAGCCCATCTTGCAACGACACTACAAGAACGCGGGTGGACATTAGCATTTCAGTGGGTCCCGGCGCACTCAGGAATTGTGGGTAATGAGCGCGCCGACACCCTAGCCAAGAACGCACACGCTCTACCCTCACCTACTTACCACCTCCGACCCTTTCATGAAGCGAGACTTCTTATTGCCAGAAATATCAGGAGTCGGCACCCAGACCCATCTACAGCGCGAGGCACACCCCCCATCCCAGTCCCTGATTCCAGACTGACAAGGGCAGACGCATCGCTACTCCATCGACTCCGGACAGGGAGTGCGTTTACGAGGCTAGCACTTCATCGCTACGGCCGAGCCGGCAGAGTTGACAGCCCGGAGTGCACAGTGTGTGGGGACCCCGAGGACATCACCCATATACTCCTCATCTGCCCAGAATACGACGCAGCAAGGAAAGTGCTCTTCGCCACTGTCCTAAAAGCAGGAGGACGAACGGCTACAACCACGTGTCTCCTTTTTCCCACTGGTAGCCGGCGGCAAGCATGGAGCATTTTCCGTGCCGTGCTAGAGTTTCTCCACCAGACAGAGCTTGCCGAGCGCCTGTGACCCCTGCATGCCTTCTCCTCACACTCCTATCGCGCCCGTCACCCACTCCCCCCCTTTCCTCCTCTCCCCTCTCCCTTCCCAACCTTTAAATCCGCCTGGAACTCTGAACTTGTGATTCCTCTTTAATACCCTATCCCACTTTTAATCCCTCATCCCTTTGTTCATGCGAGTCTTTTCCCCTATTAGGGTGAATAATAGTACGCATGAACATTTACCCCCTTTTCCCGTATTTCAACATTTCCCCCCCCCCCCCCCCCCCCAGTAACAGAGCACTGCTTACATACCAGTCCTTAAGTCAGCTAAGGTTGGAAGAAGGCGAACAGATGTACAACGCGAGGAGAGTAAAACGAAGGGTTGTGCCTACTCTTTGGGCTGCGGCAGTTTGGCGAGCAACTCGACGATCTTCTCGATCAGGAAGTCCCGGCCCTCCACTTGAGAGAACGAGAAGTTGATCTGTGAACAGTCAAGAAGCACAGAAAAACGCCCGTCATCACGACCCAAATGAGACGGAACACGAGCGATCGTGGCCAACCAATTTGTCGCCCTCAAAACAGTAACGAACCTCCAGATACCATACTCCGTTTCAACGTAACTTGGCAGACGGCAAAAGCTACAATCCCAGCGAGGCGATCAGAGACACATGACCCGTAGTGTACCTCACTAGTTACGCGCAGTGCCACTGAAGCCACAGGTGGAAGAGGAAAGCCTCTTTTGCACGAATTTCGAGTGACAGGCTAATCCTCGAGGGGGACAAAACCGACGCCTGGAATGCACAAGAAACGGTCTGGATAAGAGGGGAGCTCCCCCTTGCCCTCTTCTCCAACTGCACAAGCTACGCTCTCGTCCCTGCACTTTGATAAGGACTGTCATGTGCCCCGCCTGCGCTGCTCCAAATAGCTCGAAGGGGCCACGGCGTTTGCTCTTCAACAAGCTACGATAAAACAAAGTACAGGGTGTCGTATCCGCTGGAACAACGGTTGATGCCTTGCGGTCGGAGAAAGGCCCACGTGCCCTACTTACTGCGCCGATATTTACACCTTTCAGAGTTGCGTGTGCGGGGTACTGGCGTCCAAACTAAATTTTTGGGAGATGCGAGGGCCTACCTTGTTCTTGGTGGTCAGTAGCACCCCATTTGAAAGCAGGTGGTTCTCAACCTTTTCCGTTAGGAGCAGCATTCGTAGAGGAATGACCAAGCACACGAGGTTCTTCACCTGTACGTCGGAGAAAACGGCGTATCGGCATTTGTGTGGAATCGGGAAGGTGATCTAGACTATATAGTGTGTCCCCCCCCCTTCCCAAAATTAAGAGTGTTCATTTCACCGCAAAAATGAAGCGTGTATCGCCGAATGCCGATTCTCCGCCCAAATGTAGCACCAACAGTCCAAGCCAGCTGCCAAAGTTTCGGAACCGTCATCTTATTTGAAAGTTACCAGCGATTTTCCGAAGATTTCAATAAGAAAATGGGGCCCATTCTTGGTACCCGGCGCCGTTCAGCTCCGTGTGTTCGAGGACTCAGTTGGCCGCCATTTTCCCATTGGTATTTTAAAGAAAATCACTCGTTAGTTTTGGATAAGGTAACGGTTAGTTCTGAAAGTTTGGCACATGGTTCGAACCGCTAGCACTCCGTTTGGATGGTGGAGAATAAGTATTCAGCAATGCATGGTTTATTTTTGCAATAAAAATAACTCAAACATTTTTAATGAGGTACATGGTTTGCATGTGATGTCATTGTACCATGCCGGTGGTCATTCCGACTTGTTCTTCGCTAAAGAAAATAACTTAGATGGTGCAAAATGCATACTGCAGAAGGTACGCACTGAGCAACAAGGTCACCGCAATGGCGGCTGATGCGACATCGGTGCAAGCCACATATAGTGCAAGCCACATATATAAGATATCAGTACAAGCTCCGCCTCCAGAGCAAGCTTTCTGTCTCGAAGACGCTCCGTTGTCTCGTGAGAATGCGCAGTTAAAGTGTGATGGAAGGCAACGAGTGCATGCTGAAGGCAAGAGCTTCTCCCGCATATCTTACGCAGCAAGAAGTTATAGAACCAAATGGCACCGAACACCGAGATAGAGCCAGAAGATAATTCTCCTAAACGCTGACAAATGCATCACAAACACTGAAGGCAACTACGTAGAACTACAGAAACCATCTCAGACTGAGCGTTCTAACATATTTTTTCCTTTAAAAGGAAAGTAGAAGTGAACACTTTAAACCGTTATTGGAGCTGCCCCTCTACATAGGGGTAGATCGCACAGACTCCAGTGTTCCGGGCAGGGTTGGTTATAACTTATAAGTAAGGTTTTGTGTTTCCGGCATACACCGACAAACCCCCAAAATTAACTGCCGAACCGATTTCATCAAAATCGGGGGAAACCGTAGAACACTGAAATTCAGCCGTCCTTCAATGAGGAAATCTCAAGCTTCAGAGAAATAAACCTTCATCTACAGCTTCCTCTCCTGCTGAATGGGAACATAGCCTGCACTGAACTGACCACGGTGCTGCTCTATTTTCCAAGAAACCACGCCCTGTTATCTCATTTCCTTCTCCTATCTCGGTACTGGAATGGTTTCTGAGTACATCCAGGTCGCACGTATGTTTCCTAACGATTGAGGAATCCCACACCCCCATCTTGGCGTCTTCAACATGAGCCTTGATAAATGCCGGTTTCTGTGCGACACTGGAATCGGATGCCAAGGAGCCCCCCCTGAACCCACAAAAACAAAACAAAAAAAAACCACCCCCGAAAACATGAAACCCTGGTTGCTACGTAAAAACGACCGTCCGGCGTGCGGGGCACTCACCCTGCTCTCGAAGCAGACGTAGTTGGGCGACAGGTAGAGCTTTCCACGGACCAACTGCTTGTTGTACGGCGTCCACAGGCTGCAATCCAGGGTTCCGTCCAGACGCTCCTCCAGCGGCAGCCGGAAGGTCGTTCTGCGAGGCGTAAAAGTAGTCCGGCGAAGTGCCACGGCCTCCCCATACCTCGGCAAAAAGGCCCACCCAAGGAATCTTCCAAAGTGATATTTTTAATCCAAAGGGCGGGGACGCCGCGGCTGAGGGAGGAGCCCTTCCGGAGTTTGCATCGATGCAATAAAGCAGTGCGGAAACCTATGATAGACACGTGCAAATAGTGGATTTTGATTTCCAAGCGAACAATGGTTTCGTTCTAATATTTTCTAATTGAATATAGAATAGTTTGTCCCAGCCTTTCACTACTGCACCACATTAAACGAAAGCACAGCTAAACTCGCAATGGTTGCTCCCAGGCCTCCACTTGTCCACTTCTAAGATAGGTTTTATCTTAATCAATCCATACTTAAAGACTTTGGTTTCAGAAAATCAATGCCTATATTGAGATGGAAAGTAAACGACACTTTCGACATAAAACTAAACTCGTAGAGATGCCCATCTATACCTAATCGAGAGGATTTATTAATTTTCTTGCTATATGCAAGTGACCTTCCTACAATCTCTAATATGCAAAAAAAAGACATTCACTAATCATGAAAGCTCATTGTCATGCCATCTGAGCCTAACACCCTCTCGCATAATACCCAGTTCAATTTTTAAAATTTTACTGCGATGTAGATATCAACATCGACAAAGTTTCCATTTCTTTTTAAATACACCAGGCACCATCATACTTTGCAAGAGTGCTGCACTTCTAAGCACGCGACCGCAATAATTGTACTTTTCGGAGTGTTGCTTGCAGCGGGTCAGCCCCATTGAGTGCGCTTCCTGCAAGACACGGGTGCGCTGCAGAGAAGCGACATCCACGAAAGCAAACTTCACGGGTGTTGCTTCACTGCATGGAATCACACTGCTCGGTAAAAAGCACGCTCAACAAGGCCAACCCGCCGCAATCAACACTTCGAAAAGCACAAATATTGCAGTGAATTTCGAAGCAAATATCGAATAGCATATCATTCGAAACAACCATTTGAAAATTCAAACATTCGCACGATCCTAGTAAACATTATTGAATAACAGTACGGCCTCTATGGCTCATAGTTATGCGTCCCTCAGTGGGTTAAATCTGCAAAAATTAACCTAAAATTTTTTTTTTGTTACATTGTTATAGGGATGGTTGAGAATATTTAGAAGCTTAAGGAACGTTTTTATGGCGTGAGGTAGGCCTTTAATACTTTGAATGTAAAAAGATTACCTGTATGCTTCGCTCTGTGCCCTGGCGTCCAGATCCCGCTTCAGGTGTGGAAGCTTCTTCGGAACGTTTCGACTCAGCTTCCGCGCTAGTTGCTCGTCCACCTCGTAGTGTTCCTCCGAGATTAATCTGCATTAATCCACTCATTAATTAATCCACACAGCTACCTCTCCTCAATCATTACCAGACTACTACAACTGCGTTAACCGTTTTCCCATGTCATACCGAAACTAATTAATGGAAAGAAAAGCGTATCCTGGGAAAACAGGGTTATGAAAAAAAAACAGAAACGGACATAAGCGACCAATGAAGCTGTCAAACAGGATCAATGCCCACAGCAGTCGTAACGTTACCAGGAATAAAAAAAACGAGTGCATACTCAAAAAGAATGAGAGCATACTCACTGCCTCATTGCCAAGTTTGCCAACTGCTCCATGAGTGAAAAAGTCTCCACAATGTTGGTAAACATAGAAAAGTAGTACTGGAATGAGGGAAGGCAAAGTCATTGCAAAGGGAACACCAGATGCGAGTCATCCTCAACTAGCAGAAGTCACTGTGACGTCATTTCAACACGGATGATGCAAGCTAGAGAGATACCCTGTTATATTGTCATAGAAAGCATGTCATGCTATTAGCAAGATGTCATTCCTCGAGTATTGCTCCATTGTAAGATACAAGAACTGCGGAATCATCTTAATACCCACCTTAGATTCCCTGCAGGTCACTAGTATGCTTTCAGGAAACAAAACATTGTTGCTCCTTTCGAGATTCTGCAAAAGTAAGAAGAGAACAGATCGGGGACGTGAAAATGCCGATATCTCGGACCAAGTCGAATATGAAGCAACGCAGCAACGAAGCAACTTGGAACCGCTTTAACCCCTTAAGTGCCTTGGACGAGCTGAGCTCGTTGGCCACTTTCCGGCTAAAAATGCCGTCGACGAGCTCAGCTCGTCCAGTGGTTTTTTCGGTAGCCCTCACTTCCACGGACGAGCTTGGCTCGTCCGAATAGTTTTGCGGCGCTGACCATTGATGGCAGCACTCATTTTAGTTGGCAAATATTTTTTTTGCCTCCATTGATTTTTTGCGTAATAAACTTTTCAAATTTTATGTCTAATACTAGAGGAATAACAATTCAAAATAAAAAAAAAAGATATGGCACTTTTAGGTTACTTTTGGAAGAAACAATTTGGCATTTAAGGGGCTAAACTAAACAGAAAAAGCTTGCGCAACAAATCCTTCTGCTCTCCTTCCGACCCAGGGTTGAAATGTCCATAATAAACCAGCTTGCCCGCATTCTCGCTTCCACAAGGAACTATTTCCTTAAAACGTACAACCTCAGCCACATTATTTACAGTATATAAACGAGGTGTCGGAGACTCTTCCTCAATCCATTAGGCTGAAATGCCAGCAAGCAAGAGGCGGATTGCACAGCTCACTTCTCATGCAAAGCTTCAGGTCGCTTTCAGACCTAGCTAAACGTCACACTTCCCCGCCAACAGTGCAATCGCGTCTTCCGAGTGCCGTCAAGACCGATGTCCGGATCAAACGAACAAACAGCATGTTCTTCAGCAAGGCACAACGTCCTTTTAAGTTTCTCCTTTTATACCAACGCAAGAAGGAAGTGTAAAGTTGGGTAAGAGGTGACAAGGAAGGGAGGCAGCCAAGGATGGAAGAGAGCACAGCACCTCCTAATTAACGAGGCTGCAGCGCAACGTCTCACGTCGCCTACTCGGCGTGATGGTGCACAAGCCGCTCATAAGACGAGAACGGCAGAAAGACGTTTGGGTTGTCCCGCCTCCAGCGCGAGCTCCCCACCTTCGGTAACGCTTCGGAGTCACACGTGTGCACGCGCTGCCAGAGCACGGCGAAAGGCAGCGAGTGCGTGACAGAGGCCGGGCATTCAGAAGAGATGCCTCGTCCTTCTCACCCTCGCGGTGACTATAGGAGTTATTGCTCTGCACACTGTCTCTTCAAAGAAGAGGGGCGAAGAGAGGAGGAGAAAATGAATTTATGCGAAAAGTGCAGGGCACGTAGACGTCACATAGTCGCCACTAAAGGTGTTCGTACCTTTAGAGAGCTGCTAAGCAAATATGTGGAATCTGCATGGTTCTAATATTACCGAAGTGATGATGTGTTCCTGCCATAAATCCCGAGAGAACCGAAAGACCGGGAAAAATCGTCAGATCGAAGAACATTTTTAGAAATGCCATTTTTCTACTTTGTGACCTGCCAAACTTGTTTTCGCATTTCGGTGCAACGGAGCGTAAACAACCCTCCTTCCCAGTTGGCTATGTTGGCTCGTCTCCGGCCGCAGTCAACTACTAATCCCGTTTCGGCCAAGGTTGCCATGGTCAGGGCACCAAAATTACTAGAAACAAACAATCTTTCAGTGCTTTTTAAAAAAGAAAAAAAAAAAAAAAGTGAATGTCAAAAAAAGGGGGCGAGCTATTTTTTTGGGGTAAAGTATCTTTCGGGATATTACGGGATGTTACGGTAGTTTAATTTTTGCACGTACACATTTTGTTTGTTTCTAAGCATGTGTATGTCATTCTTGAGTGTAACTTTTATCATTCTTGAGTACTATATTTGTTACTTTCTTTTTATTACTATCCCAATTTTCGGCAGCCCATTTTTCGAGTATTGCCAAGGTGTTAATAAAAAAAAAAATAAGAAGGGTCAGCAATGTTGGCATCCTGTCACCAGCTTTGGAAGAAACCGAAGGAGGCACTGGCCAGAACACCGCGTCCTCACCGTAATGTCGGTCCACCTGAGCAGGAGCCTGGTGGTCTGTCCGAAGAAGAAGGAGTGAAAGCCCAGGTGCTGCATGCTCAGATAGAGCCAGCCTTGGTGCGGGATGCGTCCTTTCCAGAAGCTGCACGAGTAATCTGTGACCAAAGAGCGCGCCACGGGTTCGGAGGACCACCCAAGAACGTCCCAAATTTTTAGCACAAATATGTTAACCATAGGATTCCACATTTTCGAAGTTTAAGGTGTTTTTCCGAGTTAATTTTTCACCAAACATTTGGGGTTTGTCGGAGTACTTTTGTTAGATTTCCGATTCTCTCAAATTCCCCAAGTTTATTTGAGCGCGTTGCCAATTTCTAAAAATTCCAAAACAAAATAAAGAAAGTCTGCGCACCACGATGTGTCGTACCGAAGGCACCTCAACGAGCTAAAAGGTAAACCCCCTTTGTTGACAGCTCGAGATATCAAAGGAAACTGAAGTTGCATATTCTCAGGATCATTCAAGTTGTGTGTTATAAAATTTCTTCGTCAAACACAGTCTTTTTTTTTGCTTTTTATCTTGTCATCGTGACCTCGAAATTCTGAGCTTTTTTCGGATAAATTTGAATGGATGCAAATTTTACCGGCGAGCGTTTTTCAGATTCGTTCCGATTTATCTGAAAACATGCAACCCTAGTTATAGGGCAATCGGGGAATACCGGTAATTCGGAGGGCTAAAATTAAAAATCCCAACACTGCCAAAAATTTTCTCTTTCCACAAAATGATTCTTCCCAAGATGGTCGAGGGGTTCACAGCGAAGCAAAGTTTAAAAAGCGTCGTTCCGGTGGTGCCTCCCAAAAGGAAGCCAGTAGACTCACAGTTGACTAGTTTCTCCTCTGGTGGCAGCCCAAAGAGGTTGGCAAAGTGGGTGGCGTTCACTTTGAACTGGGCAGAGTCTCTCTCGCCCGCGTCAAGGAAGCTCATCTCCCGCTGCGCCGCCAGGCTCTCGATTTTGCAGCACACAAAGTCAGTGGCCTCGTCTTCCGTGTCGAACGAGCCTGCAGGAGCAACCAGCACGACTCGGTCGTTAGCGGCACTGGCCATGACGGCACTGTCAGCCGATCGCTGTGCTTACCGCGTCCTCAAGGGCGGTCCCTCGATTTCTGCCCGGCAACGTTGCGGAAGTGTTGCGGGGTGTTTCACTTGTTTCGGCCATTATGCAGCCGGAACGAGTGGTGGTAGAAAGACCGGTAGTGACAAAGATATGCGAAGTGCAAGTCGTCTGCTTTTTTTGTAGGGGTTGTGACGATGCCAGAACGCCAAACTCGTATTGGATGATTAAAAAAAACAATAGTGGGCACACCTCAAGGCATCTAGAGTTGAGATCTACCCACTATCCTTTCAATCGAAGCTCGGTGTCGTTCTGACACTGCTGCAACTCCTGCACTAGAACCATGCCGCAACTCCTGCGCTAGAAGCAGACGACTTGCTCTTCGCATAAGTACCAAAACATGCTCATTCACATGCTGCACCAAGAATTGGTGGTGAGAGAGCGTGCAATTCAAGCCCAAGTACAATCGTAGCCGTCAAGACGGACCCCGTTACAGAGACGCTAAACCTAGGGAAAGATTTTTCTTTCCTACCTAAAAACGGCGCCTTTGAAAAGAAAGAAAAAACTGTTTTTACCCAATATTTATAAAACAATACAAATTTTTCGATTTACGGGCAAAACCGAAATGGTTCCCCTGTGGGATAATGACAGCGTTTGTACCCAATTTGTATGTGCTCCAAGTTCGCTAAACCTATGGAAGTTTTCTTTCTGTTTTTTCGACAAATATTTATTTTGAGGCTGGCCCGTCCCAACTAGGTAGAAAAGAAAATTTTTGCTCCCTAGGTTCAGTGCTTTTTCAATGGTTACCCCGCTACACTATAACCCTGTCACATCAGAAGTAGTTACAGCAGACGTTTGGTTATAAGCTGTAACATACCGATTTATGAAGTTTGGTTCGTCTCCCTGCAACGCCATTAAGACGACTCTGCCTATTACAGATTCCGTTATAACATACTTTCGGATATTATTAACTATGTTAAACAGTTGGTAAGTATTGCACCGTTCCATTATGGCAGACTTTTTGAAAAAGGACGTTATTTTGGACATCAGGTGGCTTTGGTTCGGTAGAAGTGGCATCAACTTTGCAAACCGTTGCCATTGCGCTCGGCACCTTGGGAGCCTCGTACGACTCAAAAGCGCGCGGTGATGACAATCGTCGGCACGTCTATGTAAAAAATCGCTAGTACCTTTCGAAATTCAGAAGTTTCAGTAAACCAGTTCTTTTCTAATATTCATTCGCATGTCGTCAGTCTCACTTGTTGGAACAGACTCCAGTTGTGATCTGCATCAATCTTTAGTAAGGGTATCTGCGGCCTCTTACAACACACCAAAATCTTCACCACTAACGAGGTCTGCTAAAACGAGTTTATACTGTGGAATCTCGTTAATTCAACTCAAGGATCATTTAAACTAACATGCAGGTCCCGTCCTATTTGTTTCTAGGTAGGAGACTCCCTGTAATTCAAACTTTGCATTATTCAAACAAAGTTTTGGTCCCCCTCGGGCTCAAATTAACGAGATTCCACTGTAATGTGGTATCAGAGTAAATTCCAGCATTGGGACAGCTTGAGAAACGCAAGCCTAATGAACGTATCGAGTGACCTAAAGGCAGCACGCGTGGAAAAATATCCACGCACAGGATGGGAGCAGCAGCTAAGTTTGGAAACTCACCGAGTGTGTCGAGGAGGTTGTTCTGGATCCATTCCCAGTTCTTAAAGATTTCCTCCCTAAACAGAGACGTTGCCACCACTGGAAAAAAAAGATTAAGTATGACTCATTTCACAGGCTTTACAGACTCTGCTTTATCTTCAACAATTCAGCAGGTGAGAAACACAGCCGCTGTCCACTATTGTAAAGTGTTCAGGCTCTGGCACGCCTGTGTCCTCTTTCGCTGCTCGTTCTACAGTTCCAACTGTTCCAACAATAGATGCATACAGCTGCTCCTTCAACAGATCAAGACACACCAGCACTTGCCGAAGTCCTGCTTCTACTAGTCTGGGAATAAATAAAAACAACTGACAACCACACACACCATCTCGAAACACAGGTACCGATTTTATTCCACATTGTCAGATTTACACTGTAGTTGACCAACGCTGAAGTTTGGGCTAGTTGGCATACAGACATAAAACAAAAACAGCGCGAGGATGAGGTCAGCGCCGTGTCCTGTCAGTTACCTTGTACTTTCTTATCATCTTCATGCTGTTTTTGTGTTCACATTTATACATTCGTGCGCCCTCCCCAAACATTTCTTGCATTCACTGTTGTCTTGTCGCGAGGGGGGTGGTAACCTTCGGGGTGGGTGGACAAATGTATAAATGTGACTACGTGGAATAAAATCAGTAGCTGTGTTTTGAGACAATGTGTGTGCCTGTCCGTCTTTTTACTCATTCCCAGTCTTGGGTTTTTCATTATGGAGTTAGTTCCCGAGCTTACCTGCATTTTTTTCACTCTCGTCAATCCTGATAACAAGAAAATATACAAAAAAAATACAAAATAAATAAGTTAAAGGAATGAATGAATATATGAATGTAAACAGATAGTGCAAAACCCCTAACAGCATCAAGAGCAAAACTTAATGTAATTTTTTTAATAGGAATACAATGTTGTTCACATTTTAGTGAAATTGTGATATCGCTGTCTGCCAGTAGTGCTCTTCATTCTTTTTCAGATATCGTAAATGACTGTGCCTGGTTTATATCGGGAGTGTTATGACTTATAAGCTAACTACTTGATACTGTGAACTCTGCTTTCCCTAATTAGTCCGGGATTGGGGCGTCCTTTGTGCAACATGACGCAACATGCAGACCATCTTCATTCGTCGCATTCTGTGCCCTGCAATCTTTGTCTTCCGAGCTGTAGAACACGTACCGAGCACGCGCAGGAGTAGTCTTCTGCAGAAAATCAGACGCTGCGCACGCATCCACGGCTCGGTGATTTTGTATTTTTCACTCACGCGATGAGCAGTGGAGAGGCGCGTAGGACATCTATGCAGTAGAAAGTAAGTCAGCTTCGAGCGGCATCTTGCGTCTTCGGTGCCAGGGGCGGTGATTTGGCCGGCGCAGTGCGACCGCTAGCCTCGAGTTTCCAATGCACCTCGCACAACGGTGATCAGAAACACCGACGGTATTACGGCACCGTAAGCTACAACCGCCACTGATCACCTCACCTGTGAGAGCGAGAATTGGCCGACTCACCGTAACTGACTTCCGAAGATGGTGTGCGGTGAAGGATGCGGTAAGGTGCGGGCTGAACCCCAACATGAAACGAAATAGCGCAATAAACTCTATGCTTCTAGTAACTGCCACGGACTGGTAGAGATAAATCACTTTAGTCACTGACAGCGTAAGGGAAGCAGGGTACAAACAGTCTTGAGCATCTTATCGTCACTATGCAGCCAATGAGCTTGCTGCATTTGCAGACAAGAACACCGGAGAACGAATCACGAAGCAAGAACCGTGATCATAATAAGCTGCGCCCTGCGTTTCCCGAGCTGCCGGTGAACACAGTACATGCGCACACTTTCAAACGACACACGGAAAGAAGCTAGGTAGGTCTGAGCACAACACAAGTTTTTTAGAAAAAATACTATGGCACCAATGCACGAGGCCCGAAACAATTCATTCGGGAGTTTAACAGTTCAGATATGAGTAGTCCGATAGTCGCTGCTAAACTTTGTCATGCAAGGGTTCACAGAGCCGTGCGGCGGAATTTCGTTACGTTGGCTACATCGTCTCGTTTCCTCGCCTATTCCTCCTTAAAGGGCCCCTAAAGTGGATTCTGAGAGTCTTCCTATGGCGCAAGCTCAACCTATATGAACCCTAAGCATTTCAGAAAATGAAATTGATATCAAGAGTGGCCTTTTTTTCTAATAAAACAAACATAGTGACAAGCTCCTAGTTCTAAGATAGATCTCAGAAAAAAGGGGCATGCCCCAATGTTCGGTCACATTTCTAATAAAAGAAAAAAAGGCCACACACTATCATTATTTTTTTTTGCTTCCTGGGATGCTCGAGGAAAAGGGGCGGGTCGCAATGTTTTTTCACGTTTTCAATAAAGAAAAAGCCCACCCGTGGTCGCAACTTTTGCTTTTCTAGGACACTTAGGGAGCACAGGTCGAGTTTGCGCCATAAAAATACAATTTAAGATCCACTTTAGTGCCCCTTTAAGGGGACATAAACGGGATGGTATAAAGGATAGAATACACTCCTAGTATACCAGTGGAGGCACTCATTACTCATCAATATTTTTCCCTTCCTAATTTCTGTGTTCATTAAGCGGCCAGGCAGCGATAACGAAACCACCCTTTGTCGCAGCCGCCTTTCGAAGACCCCTTGTCCATCGATTAAAAAGGGTAGAGCTGTCAGTGCGATAACAAATCTCCAAAGATAGGCTGGGGTCAGTCAACATACCGCTTCCCAATCACTTAAAGCTAGTTAGAGTTCAGGGTACAGTTCGGTGCCCCTGATCTGTGCTCAAGTTAAGAGATCACACACTGGAACCGGGAGAATACAGGCCCAGATAGCTTCAAGGATAAACATATTTTTTTTGCTCGCATGACAGATTATACAAAGCATCCTTATCATGCCCTAGTTATTGCACATCACATGATCCCTAGTAACGGACAACACACAACAAACAAGATATTCTGCAGGACTTCGCTTGAAAGCAGCATACTATAATGACACAATCAAAATGTTCCACGGTAGCAGGTCAATGCTAATTAACCTTCCACCATATTTAATTACCTTTCACTAGATTAAACCGTGGTAAAAGAAACAGCTACAAAATAAGGTATGCTTCACAGTATAGCAACACTTCGGACATTGTGGTGGATAAAATCATGGCAGCGGAAACGTTTTTACGTCCTCTGGAAATGTCAAGAGAGTCGGCAACAGAGCAAATTGATGTCACCCGAGTTTTCTGGCACCGTATCTGTAGCTCAGGAAGTTGTACTTTTTAGTCGTAATGACTGCCAATTATAGCCACTCTGTATTCAGCACCAAAATGTCAATGCCCACATCAAAATGGGTGAACAAAGCACCAATACGCTAAGCGTACTCACTTAGTGGTTTTAGTAAAAGGTATTGCGCTGCACTTGCAATGAACATTTAGAACGTCCGGTGCTATCCGAAGCGACAGTTGCAATTTGAAATGCCCCATTTCATTCATTTTTACTGCCGCTGATTTCCGAAGCCAGGGCAAAGCCCTTGAGAAGGGCAAAACATCGGTGAATTGTGCCATAAAAAATTTTTTTTTTCTTTTCTCATCGTAGCGACTCCATTTTGAAAGTTTTGAAAGTGAACATGGACAAACAAAATGAACCATACACACGAGTAGCCACTGGCAATGAGAATGTTGCCTCAATCTTGAGAGCATTTTGAAAACCATAATTTTGAAATTTTTTTGAAATTAATAGGTTTGCTTTAGTGGAAACCTTGCTCCAGGAATGTCAAGAAAAAAAAAAAGTTTTATGGCTTTATTTAGGTTGAAAGTAAAGCTACAAAGCTGAATCAAGAACGCAACATTTGTTACCTTGCTGTCAAAGACTGAATCTAGTGTTCCGACAAGCACGGACGACAGTCCCTTGGTGCCGTGTCCCTTCCGCCGCTGCAGCGTAAAAAATGCATTGGACTGCTCCGTCACCCTGAAAACAGAGTGAAGCGATTGATTATTAGGTGTTTTGTGGCGCAACAGTGAAATGACCGATTGATCGATTATTACGCGTTCCGTGGCATTAAGGCTACAAAGTGAAATAATGCACCAGGCGACAGTGTCAATCCTCCTTTATATGGGAGCATCACGGTTATCTAAGGAGACGAAGGAACGCTTGAAAATGTAAATGCTTGTGAAATAACATTAATGACAGTACACAGTAAAGATTATTACAATGTAACAAGCAGTAAACGTCGTGATCTGGCTACAGTATGCGAACACCTGATTATAGCTGTATTCTTTATTGCTTTGGCAAGATTTTGGCAGGTTGTCAATCAGGTGCCGGAAGCGGCACGAGACGTTGATCCGGAAAAATTCTCCTGGCTAACACCGTAGTTGAATCTTTGGACTCGTGACTTTGTTCCACTGCACAAGTGGTTATTCCAGCCTCAAACAGCTGCTTCCACAGTGCAAAATGGAGAGAAGCACTTAGCCATCAATATGACTTACGAAGTGACGACAATGCATGCCAGCTGTGACTCTTAGGAATACTGTCTGCCTGATGCCTGTACTGCATACATTTTGAGATAACCAATATCCCCCCCCCCACCCGGCCCAACAGAAACAGAAACACACACACACACACACACACACAAACACATAGTTGTTGTTTTTTTTTTTCTTTTTTTTTCCAGGCACGTGTTGCGAACAATAATTTACCTTGGAAGATCTCAACAGTAAACCCGTTATCTTTCCGGCAACTCACTTATCCGGAAACTCCGCATATCCGTACAAAGAAACCGATCGGTCGCTTCCACGGATTTTGGCAAAATGCCTCAACGGACGAGAATTTATTCCGACGACAGGGATAAAAAGTTTGTCAAAGAGAGTTGGCGATTCACCATCGTATGCAAACAAAAACAAGCTACCAAAGAAAGAAAAAAAGACGGGGGGGAATCGTGCGCAGACGTTTGACATTCGTGCCAACTGTCTCAACCAAAAGCGTAGCGCTCTCGAAACAGCTGTGCATGACGTGTTTGCAAGGAGGTTTGATTTCATGCAGGCTTGCGTCACACACACACACACACGCCTCTGAACGCATGCTAAAACTACTTGCGTCACAGCCCGACATCATGCTCGGAAACTAGTCGAGGCCTGGGAAAACTGAGGTTAACGGAAACCTTGGATTTTCACGACGTAGAAACGGGCAGGGGGAGGTGTGTTGGAGGCAAGCGGTTGTGTTTGGCGTCGTCGGGAACTCACCACAGAGCGTTCGCTAGTAGCACTTCCTCGGGTTTCATCCACATCTCGACGCGTCGTCAGTGGCACATGGGTAAGAAGTGGACGATTGTCAGGTTGAAACAATGACGAGGCAGTTTCTGAGGTGGGGAGGCACGGATGACTAACTACATGGGAGCACAGCGGGTGGCGAGCTCACAGTCCAACAAACTCCGCTGAACAACATCAGTTTCACCAGAAGGGGAAAGTTGGCGGCAGGAATTTGCGTCGGCATTCGTGTGGAGCGAAACCTTACGGCTGTAACGAAAGCACGGTGGCGCACGTCAGCCCTGCAGCCTAAAACAAAACTATTTTCGTGCAATGTTTACAAAAAGAAGAAAAAGCTCCACCAGTGCTGGCTTGCAAACTCGATACGCAAAGCGGGCAAAGACAAGAATAGGTAAATGAATGGACAGGTGAATACGGCGGAAGTATTAAATTTGGGCGGTAGCTTCCGCCACCTATTCATTTCTGATGTCCGAAGCACCGTTTTGCGATCGAAAGGGGAGACTCGATAATATTTTTTTGTTGTAGAATCTTTACCGTTAATAAAACGGCACATTCTAATCTTGGTTTTCTTTTAGTTTACGCACATACCCACAAAATTTCGGTTTTCTTTCTTTTTTTTTTTTTCTGCGTGCTGGCGCGTTTATTTAAATCCGATGCAGGGTAGTTTTTAAAATATTCCGCTTTAAGTTCCAAAAGTAGACGACTGACATAGCTTTATAGCTGATAATCAGCGTTCCATATTCTCAATATGTGCCGCTAAACAACCAAAAATAAACCCTGCGCGCGGGTGTTGTCAAAACTGGACAAGACTGAAAATCTCCGTGTTGCGCCATTCCTTGGATAAGAAACCTCAAAGCTTGGCGGTTCGACCTAGAAAATGAAACCCGGCTCTTCGGCCTTCGTAAGTAAACTAAGCATTGCAGAAAGCTTAAACTCTGTCAGAATCAGGGTGTCGAACCGGATATGGAACTGAACCGCTTAGTTTACCCGAAACGAAACAGAACCCGAACCGAAATATTCGGCGCCATTTTGGAGTGAACCCGAACCGGAGCAAAACAAGAGAACCGTTCCGAACCGGTTCGGTAAACGGTTCGGGCGCGCATTCGCGCTACTATTCCGTGCGCTGTGCGCCGGAAATTTCGAGAGGCTTAGCTTGCGCTGTGGGGCAATGTGTTGCCACTTATGCAAATATTTTTGTAAACATATTTTACAAAGACGAAGGTCGATAGCCGCTGTTACTGGCTCTCACAAAATCCGCCTGAGCCACTCGAAGTCATCGCGTCCACGTGCCCGGAAAAAAGCCGTCGCCACGTGCTGACGGGATGATGCAGCGAGCTGCCGCGGAAACAACAACGTAACATCAAATTTGGAGTTACTACGGTTGATCGAACGCCATTTCATCAAGACACGTTTCAGAGAACCGCCGGACTCATTTTATCGAAGCTCGGTTTAAAGAAGGCGGAGCCTTAATTAAAAAAAAAATGCCGTTTATAAAAAAGAAGAAAGAAAAAAAACGCTGTTTGAAAAAAAAAGAAGAAAAAGGGATCCTTTCTTTTTTGCGTAAGTCTCAGAAAAAGACAGCAAAGGAAGAAAGAAAGTCTCAGAAGAGGTAGAAATTGTCAGAGAAGAGGTCTTTGAGTCACTTCGGGCCCGGTTAGTGTCACTGAAAAATCGATTGCTCCACGCGTCTGAAAGGAGCAGTTCTCGGCGTAAACGTCGATCACGTCGAAAATGAGAAAATTCACCTGCAAACGATGGCAATGAAAGAATTGTTCGAGCGACACACCGCGGAACGTTTGAAGAGCGAAGCTTTTTTTTTTTTTAAGTACTTTCAAGGTACGACGCACAGTATAGCAACATACAATGGAGACAATATGCTGAAAACAGTTGCTTTATTAGCAGATAAATCTGTTGGCCCCGTCGCGGCAGGATCCGACCAGTCGGAAGAGGAAGTAAGGACAGAACGAGCGGGTTGGTATGGATAGTTAAACTTGAGGAAGAAAACGAGAAAGGACGCGTATGGTGGCGCCTCAGATGGTGCCTCCCACCTCGAAGAATTAGGACGTACATTGCATTAGGTGTGAGTGTTTACCCTATTTAGACAACACCGTCATCTTGGCACGAAACAAAAATAGAAAAACAAGGGAGATAACGGAAGCGTTTTTTATTTCCGAGTGTGACGCGGTACGTGTGGTTTTTCCAATAATAAACCAGTTGCAAGTAGCGCTCTGTGGTGTGTGTCTCTCCTACTCGTCCGTCGTTTTTAGCGCTTTTAACCCCTAAACATGTTCAACCAACTATCCCAAATCCAGACCCTTCTGGGGTGTGCTGCCTGCAGCTCGCTGTACATGGCGCTCTCAAGTCTACAGCTGTTAGCGACATCGCACAGAAGGTTCAAAAAGTTGTGAAAAAAATGACAAATGATGAGGCGGCGAATAACTGAAGAAACTAAACGTTTATTCAATGGGGCGAACTTGTGCCCAAAACAAAATAGAGAAAGCCTAGCGTCGCAGGCGTCGATATCGGCGAAACAGCAGGATTGAGCGCTAAAGCGAGGCTGACAGCGAACCAAAATAAAAAATTGGCTTGTTTTTGTATGTTTATACAACCTTGATGATGGTATACGCCTCAACGGGTGACCGGTCGCTTAGCTTCTTCTACGTCGGGTAGACGGAGACGCTACACTCAGACTGTTGAAACAGGCACGGCGAAGCATGAGGTGGCCCCTCTCGATCGCTCCAGCCCATGGGTATTTTTGGGTGGGTTGTACAAAAATGTATTAGAAATTTTCCCTTCAAAACTTCCATCCACCTCTGTGCTTTCGATTTGTCTTTTAATGAACACTCCGTAGCATTTTTAAACTTTTTTTTATTAATAATGCAATTGTGAAGAACGGGTATGTGAACGCCCCATTCAGGGCAACCGCGTTAGCGTCAATTTGGCCCTATTTCCCGCATTAAAACCTCAGTGCGGCACAAATATTGCATTATGATTTTGCATTCACACATTTCCAGGAGAATTCGAAAGCGCGATTTGATCGAGTGTACCTGTCGGCGACTCTGTTAGTACATATTATAAACGTTAATTTCTGAGAGTTCAAAGAATATTAAATATAGTATTTTTAAATGATTATCAAAATAATGCATATTTAGTTGATTGCCCCTGTGTGAGAAATTCTCGTAAATTTCTCACGCTAACCAGGACAACCATATTTCACGCAAAAATGAGCAATATAAAGGGCAACACACTGGTAAAGTTTGAAGACCTTAGCTGTTATAGATACGGAGAAAACAAATATTTAATCCAGAGCGTTATTGCGCAATTATGGGCTTCTAAAGAAAGCCCATAATACTCGGTGATTAATACTTTTTGTCAATTCTCCTTATGCCTAATTTCTCAATAAATATTTCTGGACCCGTAGCCAGAACAGTATTTTGGGGCGGGGGAAGCCGCCCGAAACGCCAACATCGCACGATATGCAAAACATGCACGTGGCAGAGAGAATGTTTATAACTTTTTTTCGCAAATACAATTTTTTAAAACAAAAATTATTTTCTTTTGGTGTGTGTGTGGGGGGGGGGGGGGGGGGGCACGAAGCCAGCAGAATATAATGTTTTCATTATATAGAAATACCGTCGGCGGACATGGTTGTTCTATTTTATCTGAAAATGCCCTGGGGTAAAAGATGGGAAACTTAGAAGAAAAAGGAGTCTCAGGTAATTTTCATCACAATCAACATCCACTAACTCGCCTGCACACTCACAGTAAACTAAGAATTAGTTTGTTTGTTTTTTGCGAGGTTTATATTGAAAAAATATTTGGCATAAAAAAAACGGCATTTGTTGACATCTCTTGAAGTCGAGCAGTGATTTGACTCAGAAAGTCGTAAACCCCTTGTGAAGCATCTAATGTCCGAATCGCTGTATCATGAAATTGATGTGGTAGGATCACAAAAATAGATTGGGTGGTTCATTTGAATTCGAATAAGTTTGCCGGGAATACTTTTTGATTTTCTAAAAAAAATATGTAGATGCAATATTAATCCTTGCCATCATAAAGCCCCTTTTAAAAAAATTTGGGCTATGCACTTCCGGAAAATAATATAAAGATTCTCATAATATTTTAGAACTGCAAAGTTTTGTAGATATTTATATAAACAAATGCTCTACTCAATCTGGTAATGTTTATTTACGTTTAAAGTATTATTGGGAAATATTTCTAAGCGAAAAGCTGCTTTTCTTAATTTTACATGCATTTTTGCAAAATCACAAACTTGTAAGCCGACGCAATTTTACCTCGGAATAGACTCATCGAAATCAAATAGTTAGGAACTATTACATGATGCAACTTTCATTGTTTAGCTACAGATATGATAAGCTGTCTGGTCGTAAACTTTTATGTTGGCAATAATCGTAATTACGTTAGAGAAAAAATTTGTGGAACATAAAAAATCTTACAAAAACCCAGAATTTTTTTTAACAGTTTGGGTGGGACACGCGTGTTAACAAAGTAATTTACTTGAAAAAAAATATTTTTAATGCAATATTGACGGCGCGTAGACGGTAGTAGTCAGTAGTAACCTCCTTTCCACTTGTTTTCTCCCATGGCTTGGCCATCACGTTGAGGGGGGGGGGGGGGGGAGAGTGTATGACCATCTCGTTGAGGTGGAAAGAGTGTATGACCATTCCGTGACGTCATGGACTTTGCGCGCAGGATTTTAAACAAATCTCTCTTAATTTCTTTTTCACGTGAAAATAATTTATTGGCGCCTGTTCCAACGTGACTGATTAAAAAGAAACCTTTTTTTTTTCTGTTGAGGGGCCTTTTAAGATATTTTCCATTTGCTTTGTCAGGGAAATGTTTGTTTAGTTTGTTCATGCCTTTAGTTGATTAGCCATATGTTCAAAAATAACTATATAAATATTGGTTTACTTTTTTGTTTCATTCATGAAACATTCAGTTAAATAAGTACCTGTCAATGCTTATTCGGTTTGGTTCGGTTTGCCAACTTCGATCTAATACCCCTGTAACACGGGCACCCTTAGCCGCAGTTAACTCCCCTTTAGCTCGTCTCACGCTGCACCAGGGTTACCGCGCTATACCTCCGGGCTGCTATTTTAGAGCAAGTGAACTGTGCACGTGCACTGCTTTGATGGGGGCACGCGCACAGAAAAGTGCACGTACGCCTAATAGCTTTGACTGCAGTGACACAAAATGTTGTCCGCAACTATTGTGTGGTAACTGTAGCCCAGCGTAACTGCAGTTAAGGGTGCCCGTGTAAAAAAAATATACGTGCCTTGCACCTACGTCACATGATGACGTCGGACACCGGTATCCACCATGCTGGTGGTTGACACCACTGCCCTTCGCAGCGAGAGCAATATGGTGAACTGCGCCGCGCTCGGCTATAGACCGTTTTATCGTGGGTAGCGCCATTTTTAGAGCGAGAGAGAAAAGGGGAAAGGGCTGCAGGCGCTTTCCTCCTTTCTGATTGTGTAGAAAGAGTGGAAGTCCGGGATGAGAGGCTTGGCCGGTGTTGGGCGCCTGCAGTGCCCAAACTTCGTTCGCGCTTTCTTCTACGTTTCAAACTCCCAAACTTATTAGAGCTATGGTCTTTGATGGCGACAGTCCCCCGGTCATGGGGACACCATTGCTGTGTGATAGGGTGCACGAATAACGACAGAAAGCGTCGAATACTGTCCGAGGACCTATGTAGCTTGCATGGAATCCGGCAAGGCAAGTACGGCTGGAATGTTTTTAAGCTCCGTTGCTTTCCGCATGACTGTAAATGATGAACCATTTATACATTTTTGCTTGCAATGGGCCTATTTCAACGTAGCCGCTTTTAGTTGTAATCAAGAAGCGATACACGAAACGGGAACCTCAATTAACTTTGTAAACGCCCGGAGCTGCTACATATTGTCTTGCTGTGCTGTTTTTATCTTCGTGTCCCTGTTCTTATATTGCCTTGTGAATGAACGACGAAGACGCTCTAGATGTACTTTTATCGAACCGCAGAAAGCCTCGAAGCAGCCACGAATTATTTTACTATTTGATACAATATTTAGAGTACTCACCTCCAATTTCTATAGCTGGCACGTTCGCTGCCGCTGTTCCCCCCCGTCGCCACACTGGCGGATGCCATGGCTCAAACAAAGAAACGTGCACACTGGACACGAAAACGCGGATCGCGACACACGAGACGTTCCCTGCAGCGACTATCAAGCGCCTCAAAGCGCCTTAGTTAACGGAAACAACCCACCAGCGGCACTCCAAGGAGCGCTTTTGCCGGCTCTCTGATATCGCGCAAAAAATCGCAATTAAAAAAAAAAAAAAAAAAAAACAGTAGAACTACGTTTTCAACAATTTACAGCCTCACTCGGCGACGGAAATAAGCCTTCAACCAAGTGTTGTAGATGATAAAATCGATTTAGTCACCACTGCAAATTATCACTATTAAGATAAATTCAGTAACGAAATTTTACAAGCTGAAACAGCAGTTATCATGAGAAAACTCGCACGCACATTGCGAGCGTACCCCATGTTCATCGGCGGTACAGCTTTCGGTGCGCGCTCCATTCACGAAATGTTCCGAGCAAAGTCGAGAGGATGGCGTTGAGGAAACGCCTTTTCGGTTTACGGACGCAATCCACTGCCCCCGGAGACAGGGGTCATATGGAAAGCGATGGAGTTCAAAGACATTGCAGCCGCTCTTGCCTTGCTGGATTCCTTGCAAGCTACATATGTCCTCGGACAGTATTCTATGCTTTCTGTTTTTATTCGTGCTCACTATGACCCAGCAATGGTGTCCCGATGACCGGGCGACTGTTGCCATCGAAGCCTCTGGCTTTAATTAAGTTTGCGAGTTTAAAACAGAAAAGAAAGCGCGAACGAAGTTCCGGCACAGCAGACACCCAACACCGGCGAAGCCTCTCATCCGGGACTTTCACTCTTTCTACACAATCAGAAAGGGGGAAAGCGCCGGTAGCCCTTTCCCCTTTTCTCTCTCGCCCTTTTTCAGTAAAACGGTCTATAGCAAGTACTACGTATCCCGACGATCGTTCTATCGTTTCCTCGCCATTCCACGCGGGACAGAGTGGCCGCCATGTTAGAGAAAGTACGAGCGGCAGGAAAGGGATGCGGCCGCGGATTATCGAGTTTGCGACACGCATTTCATAGCGGCGAGCGACGGTACTTTTCTACCGTTGTTTACGTTAGCGCGCGCCTTTGCATCGGCTTTTCCCGTTCGTGGTACAGATGGCTTCTGACTTTCGTTACATAACCTTTGCAATGAGCGAAAGTATGTAGGCGAGCCGGTTAGGAAACAGAATATAAACCTTGAGACCAGGGACGGCGCCAGGCTTTTCATAGTGAGGGGGCAGTGGGGAGGCGCACGGCATTTTTGGGGAGGCATGGGCCTTCGATCCGACTAAAACAACAAATATTTAGGGACGATGACTTGGCGCTTCGGGAGTTTTTAACAGAAATAAGCTCAGTTTATTTCATTATTTTACAACCTATCTACAACTCTGGTTAATGTAGAATTTCACGTGCAAAATATTCAGGCATGTTTACATTCCACAATACTAAATAAGCACGCTCATGCTTGTCGTGACTCATCATCTGCTCTTTAGGCAGTCCCCTGCACCGCAGAAAGCCGGAGCACGTCAGCGATCATGTAGATGTAATGACGATTCTCCCTTCTCTGCTGAATACGCCTGGCAGAGGTTTAGCCGCGCCACTGTTCTTCATCTGCTTGAAGGAAGCCGGTGATGTTTGGGAAACCTTGCGTGCCGCACTGTTGGAGTGGCGTCGTAGTCCGCCTTCCTTTTGAAGAACTTTCTTCTAGTTTCGACAACCCTCTCTCAAAATACAGCACTTCCACTGTTTTACTCCCCCCCCCCCCCCCCCCAAAAAAAAAAAAAATACACAAACACTTTCAGCTTTCCTCCAACCTCCGGGGATAGTCCCTCGAAGGGGCTCCGTGCTCCAGGGTCACTAATGATGGGAGCATGGCAGTTCTCGAACCGCCAGGCTCCGACCTATACCCTTTCCCGAGCACACACAGTCGCCTTCACCAAAGTTGCTTCAAGGACCCCATAGAGACTTGAAATAAGCAGGATCACCAAGACACATCAAAGCCGCCCCTTGGGAACTCGCCAGTCGGCCCAAGCGTCTCAGGACTTTGAGAGATTTCCTTGGTCGGAACATGAAAAGTGCCCTTGAGTACCTTTTTCTGGCAGGTACAAAGCGACGGCGCAGTGCAGATGCATGGGATTCCAAGTCTCTTCAAGTAATCACTGGGGTGCAGCTACTTTCAGGAAGTCTTTCATGGCTGGCGACAGAGGAATTGAGTAGTAGACGACGCTCGTTAGCTTTGGCAAGCCATATATACCGATATTCATACATCGTTCTTCACGGGCTACGTAAAGAAAATAAAGCGGACGGCACGAAGAAGTTGAAAACGTCCGGTATGAGACCTCTTCAGGCTGGCTATCCTTCAAGCCAATGCCTTTTCCATGGGACGAGGAAATTAAGAAAATGACGAGCCATGTAGCGTATGCGGGTCTGCGCGCGAAAATTAGGGTGAGGGAAAGGGGGTGTAAAGGCTGGCATATTTTTGGGGTGGCAGGACAAATTTTAGGGGAGGCGCCCGCCACCCCTCGCCTCCCTTTGGCGCCGTCCCTGCTTGAGACAGTGAGAGTTGTCTTGTCTGTTATTTGACTTATCCTTGTCTGAGGGTTTAGAAGACGGCAACCTTGCATTGTTTACCAGTATTTCGCAAAATCGTAACTATGTTTCTACAAGCGACTCCTAGAGCCGCTCGTCAAACTTGGGGCGCACAATCAAGCTTTTTTTTATATATATATATCTTTTTTTTTTTTTTTTTTTTTTTTTTTGTGGCACGACAGCTTTTTGCGTCAGAACTTCGTCGGCGGCATATCGAAACTTTCTGCACGCAATCGCACCAATGCCTAAAAAGTCCGCACGTACTGGCTAGACGTCGTCATCGTAAGCTCGGTACGCTTCTCCAAGTTCACATGTAGCACAACAAAGGTACCTTTGTTGAAAATATGGTGCATGTCAGCGCATGTCCGGGCAGTTAGCGGTATTCTACGCCCATGGTGTGAAGTCAAGCACAAGTATGGTGCGGGGCCACGTCCTTCCCTAGTGTGACGTCACTTGCGAGGCATGTAGAAGTGATCACAATAACTGATGTCGCAGATAACTACTTTAATGGAGCCATTCCCAAGTTTTTACTTATCACAATATTGTTTTCACGCTTGACAAAGACGGCCAAGTCTTATGGTTCTCAAAATTTCAACAAAAAGAATCACGGAAGTCAAATTCTGACTGCTGCTCCCAGTGGGAGCGGCAGTCGAAGCTAGTGGTGGCAGAAATGAAACACCACAGTCAACAGGGGTGTGATGTACTAGTGAGCCTCAATGACAGATCCACCTTGAAATGTGGTGACAGCTTCGATCTGCGCCGGGACACCACTCTTGAATCTTTGCATGAAGGTGTACTCTGAGCAGCACTGCTCTGCTAACGCATGCCACCCAGCGAACGCTTCATAAAGATTTCGTCCATCTGCATTCTTTATTATCGTTTTGTGGTTAGTGTGATATACTAACATTTATAGCTACACCAGTTAAGCGTGATATTAGAGAAATCCCATTTTGAAATTTGCGGGAATATGCAGACAAGCTGGTGAACTAATTTCATATGAAAAACCCGAGACTAGGAACACGTACAGTACCGAACAAGCACGCACTTGTTCGTTATTTTATTTGTTCCCAGTCTGGGGTTTTCTTATTATGGAATTTGAATTTTGATTGGATTTAAATATAAAATTCCCCAGTTGCCCCAATAAAATAACAAAAAAGTGTACTCGATTTTCTTAAATGTTTTATTTAAGCTTTTTGCACTTTCTCGTTCAACAAGAAGAACGTCAGATAACCAGATGAAGTTCATAAGGTGGCAGACCTTCAGCTGCAACTTGAACCAGGGTTCCCAAGGAGCAGCTCCGAGGGGCACGGGCTCAGCACCTGATAACATGTCACAAATCATTAAATATGAAGACGTGCCGCGAGGCCTTACTGGCTATTCTTCAGTATATGTGCGTCGATCTTGTAGAAGTGGAGACGATACATTCTACTGTTATTAAAAGGTTAGTGATAATAAAGTTATAGGTGGTAGTCCATTCTTAATCAAATAGACAGTCCTTTATCGCAAATGGTTTGTTGATAAGTGATCGCGGAATATGTAAGTGTAAACAGCCTTTGCGCGAGTTTACAGCTGTTAAGCAACCGTTAAAGCGCGTAATTCTATTAACATTAAACGTAACGGCGCGGCTAACAGGCTAAGTACATTTCATGTCTGAAAATAAAATATTTTATACTTATTCCAGCGTGAAACGTCACTCTAATATCGACAGATGCACTCGTGCGGTGGCATAAGAGAAAGACAAATCTGCCGAAAATTGAAAAGGCATCCAAAGAACTAAGAAGTGGAATGATACATTCTGCGCCAGATAATGTATGCAGCGCCAGTGTGAGCAGGAACAGGAAATCGACGGTTTTTTTTTTGTTTTTTTTTTCTGGTTTCCTTGTTTCTATAATTGAATATCTCAAATTAAAACTAGCGTAGTAACAAGACTTCGTGCTTTTCATTGCGTTGTTTTACTAAAAAATTAAGAGAAATGTTGATAACAACAGAGACTTTATTATACAAAGATCACACGGGAAGAGATTTTTTTTTTTTCGAATATGGAAGCACTGTAATTGAAGAACGTTTTTGTTTCAGGGAATCAGAGGAAAAAAGAGAAAGACAAGAGAACGAGGAAAATAACCAGGTTAGAGAAGAATTTCGACACGCGTGCATGACTAAATAAGAGTAAAATATACACGATTAAAAATACACAAAATGTACACACACAGAAAGCAAAAGGAAACGGTCAGCTATCACGATAGGGACAAAACATAGAGAGAAACAGATACATACACACCGCTGACTGCGTATACACACACATACACGAAAAAAAAGAAACATTAACTAAAACACAGCAATAATGATATAAAAAAAACGTTTTTGACTCATTCCCCCTTCCTTCCTATAAAATATATGTTAACGTTTGTGCTCTCCGGTTCCTCATTTCGTCCGTGTCGTACTGTAGCGATATGAACAGGTACAAACTCGCCATGTTATCCACTCTGTTATGTAAAGAAGCGTCGATGTCGTGTTCGCACTAACTTCGTCGGGTAGTGTACAATCAAAGAGTAGATGTTTGTTATCTGGTATAATTGGCTGATTCTTGAACAGTAGCGCTTAGTTTTATGCAGCGCCAATTTAATTTTGAATGACATGCTCTTAATAAAATCACAGGAAAACATATTAATGTTCAAATGGCCTTCTAACTGCAGAAACGGTATCGTGGGTTATTGGGGCACTTTGTTTAGCAAACACATAAAAGCCGTAGAATTAAATTCTTGGAAATTTTCTCACGTTCCTTTTTTTGTCCAATCAAATACCTCGCTGGGCCGTAGACAGAAGGTTTGGTGTTTACTCGTAAAAGGCTTTACTCTAGCATCCCAAGTAAATAGATTACATTTTGTTTCCCAGACTTTTGACTGAGGGGAATTATTCCCTTCATATCTTCACAATATTAACCTACCTCGTAACCGCACGTTCCTGCGGTTAGGAATTGATAGTAAATATGATAATGAGATGTGGTGAGCAAACTGTGAAGCTCGTGCTTCACAACATGTGTTTCGCAACAATCGTAACACGGTGATATGATTTTTAAAATTTACTAATAACATTTTAGATTCATTTGACTCGCTCGGTATGAACGTTACGTCAACTCACCCTTGAACTAGCAGCTGGGTCTGATTGGCCAGGCAAGTCCATTTGACACAGGGGTCTGTCAGCTCTTTTACTTCTCCGTTTCCCATTGTGTGGCCGAGGTATCTGCACTCTCGATCTAGTTGTAAAACGTACAAGTTATTAAGAAAAGGATATCTTACTATGAACAGAATTGCCAATTCAGGATAATCGTGCAAATACGGGATCATTGTAAATATCCTATCATCGCACTATTTTTAATATTGTGAGTGTGCGCTAATATTTACACAACTACTGCTTTTCAAAATAGGCGAACCCTACGACTGCAAAGGTACTTCTGAGGCAGCTGCATATTACATTGCCGTAAAACCTGTGAGGTAGATTTGACCGTCACATATGTGATGAGGTTGGTAATATATATTCGATTGATCACTAAGTTTAGTTTCTTTATGAACAGCACTCGCTGGTAGGAAAAACTTTTGGAATGGTTGTTTAAGTTGACATTTGTCTAAATTCCAGAAGACGATCAAGATGCCTCGTGATTTCAATATTGAAACGAGGGCGTCCAGGATCGGTGTAGAAAAGTCTATTACGTTGTGTAATTTTGTATATTTCCATAAAAATAAAACTTACGGTCAAATACTAGAAGTGATTGTTCTTGAATTTCGTAATTGGTTTTTCCAGCTTCCTCCACATTACCTTGGGATATTACTACGTTGGCTATCACAATGCAAACAATCAAAATATTCATTGTGCCCACTTGATGATCTGTAAATAAATTGATACTGGATATAAGGAAGTGTATTTCTACGCTAATAATATGTTTCAAATCACTTTGCACATTTATTGTTACTATGATGTGCCCAGCTGTACGATGCGTCATTTTTATATAAGAATATTAGGCGCCTTTTAAAAATTATTTTCAGCGTATAACACAAAAAAGAGATTGCTTTAATGGTTTTATCAGGCTCCTACATGAAGAAGACAGTGAAACTGACTTCAAGATGTTGACTTTACTGCGGAGTTTACTATTGGGTACAATACGTTCATTACTCGATAAGCACCATTTCAAACAAAGGCAGACTATTTATCGTATGATTTATCGCATTTATTTGCAATCGTGGCAAATGTAATGTAAAGAACATTGAACGCATCTGACTGTTTTATCTTACCTTCAAGGCAAGAAATAAAACTAAATAAGAAATTCAGGTTTTGGTGCACAGGTATTTGTGCATAGTTCGCACGTAATTAACTTTCGGTTGTTACACTCATTAGTATTTATACAGCAAACATTCAAGGTAGGGCGCGGCCATGGGGGGGGGGGCTTATGAAAGCCCAGCCCTATTGATATGTAGTTGACCCCTTAAGCATATGTATGCCCCCCACACACACACGCACACACTCTAAGTCACATTGAAAGTCCCAGCGAACCCCCTCTTCCCCGAAAATGTTCCTGGCTTCGCCACTGCAATCAGGCTAATATACTTTAGGCTTTTGGTATTACAAACCGCTATGGTAGAATATAATATAAATGCACTGATATTAGGCTTGCATAAAAGTCAACGGAAACATTTTGCGAAACAGGCAGCTGTGTAGAATGTGGTGATATTACCGTCACCTTGACGATGCGCTGGTCTACGCTTGAGCCTGTCAAGAGCAAACTTGATCAGGGTATTTATATCTTAGTTGTTGGTTCCACGTGGGAAGACGTTTTTAAATTTTGACCTTTCACAAGATTTCGAAGCAAAGATGTTTTTAGAGATGTAGCCTGACGTTTGACTTTATCTGTTTTGTGCCATGGGTCAGAAAACATACGAGGCTAACCGGATATGTTTTTTATCCTGACATTTTAATTTGAGCCCTTCTGAAACTATTCACCCTGATGTTGACGTAATACACAAAATTAGACACATTTAATTTAGTGTATTGATATTATGCTTTCCTTATGTCTGGGGTTAAACATGGGGTCTGATTTGCGTCATCGCGAAGTACAGACGGCAAGTGTTTATTTAAAAAAAATATATATATTTTTGATATTGCAGTTTTTGTTGGTCTATTGCGGAAGTGAGGAAAGAATTGTACTAAACATAAAACAATATAGAAGTAATAAATGTAAAATATCACCAATAATCACCAATGGTGGACAAAAATTCACGCAATGGTAATAAGCGAATATCACCGGGCAACTAATTCACAATTTAATGCCATGAGGAAAAATAATTTAAGCCCATCTATAAGTGGATGAAAATGTGAAATATTTAGGTGGCGGCATCTTCTTGACGAGGGTGCTTTTGCAAAATTTAAATACCTATTTAATCACGCGAAATGTGATGTTTTATTTCAACTGTGCAGGGTTTTCAAGCATCCGGTTTACTACGCCCGTGAAACCTTTTTACAGCCAGTGAGAAAAACCTCACGTCAGGCAACACCATTACAACCCCCACCCTCAGCACCACCACTACCACCACCACAGCCACCACCACCACCACCACCACCACCACCACCACCAGTTTACTATGTGTGGAAAGTGGGGAAAAGTTTAAAGCAGAAAGATTAAAGGGTGAAATATCTGGCATACCGTTAGACAGATAAAACATGCTGCTTCCTTCTGAATAGCTTCACCCTTGTTTATATCAAATGGCTCTAAGTATTCCAAATGACGCATTCAAGAATTGGTCGTATTGAAGGTTGTTATCCCAGAGGCTTTGTATGTTGTATGACTTAACGTAAAGTAAGCAGCCGCTATCTGAGTCTTTTAATTGTTACATGTGAAGTCAATGTAATCTATCAGGACATATCGTAGAAAAGGACATAAAAGCGGTTTTGCAAAAAGTTATTGACATTTGCCAGGTTTGGCACCACTTAGAGAAGTTGGCAAAGAAATTGTTAAGAGAATATGACCCCGAGATGACTTGTAATATAAAAGACGATCGTCTATTTATAGGCGTATTTTAGTGGTAATGTTACGTGGAAAACCATCGATGTAAATAAAAAAGAACGCCTTGCGAACCACCCGATGACACATTTGCATTCGAAGGATTGAATGAATTGAAAGTTGCACACTGTGAACGAAGGCAACGAAAACTATTCACCCAGCCAGCCAGGGATCATTCTTTAAAATATAATGCTAAGCTATATGTAAGAGTATAGTTATCTTGTTCGCTAAGATACTGTAGGATGATATAATTACCAAGATGTTCTAGAAGAGAATATTGAAAGGTAATTCGTTTGAATGATTTGATTATGGCACCACAGCCGTTTTCCGAGTGCCTCAGAAAGTGTTATTAACTATCCTCACTGTGGGAACCCAGAGCTATGAACAGAAATGGCCATCTTTAGAGGTTTGCTGCTATGACGACCGACTACGCTTGACTGATCTCGGTTGCGGGTCTTTCTTATAGGCCATTCAATACTCGACTTCTGCGCGCGCTGCCATCTTTGTTTACTGGACTGTGGAATGTGTTTGGAGCATGCGCAATAGCTCTTCTTTTCTAAATATCAGGCGCAGCGCATGCCTCAACAGCGCAGTGATTCGGCATTTCTCACTTCACTTGGGCATCAAGCCTTGGTATAATGTGCAAACCAGAAAGAGAAAATAGGTGTCATAGTTCAATATTCTTCCTTATTGTTAACCATGTTGAATCAACCTGAGACTAGGGTCCAGAAGAAACATCAAAACGTAGATGGGACAGAGGATAGACAGGACGACGTCTCTTTTTGAGACGTCGTCCTGTTTCTTTTCTGTCCCTTCTTCGTTTTGATTTTTCTTCTCTACCCCAGTCTCAGGTTCATTCAACATGGTTAATATTCACCAGCTCGGCTGCACCCTTCCGATTTTTTCTATGCCTCTTTGTGGTTCGTTCCTTTTTTGTTCTGTGTTGACTTTCCAGAAAGCTGAAAGTTCACCAGTTATCTTTCTTCCGCTTCAAAAATTGCGCATGGGTTTCGTTCCTTCTCACATTTGGGACTAGTTCTGTTTACAAGCTTAATTCACTCCAAGGGTTTTCGTCTTTGTTGAAGTTACGACCAAAATTAAATAAAATTTGATAATTATCGTTAAAATTGTGATTCTTAGCGCAGCAACGAATATGGTTATTTTTTTGACAGAACAACACACTTTGAATTCACTGAAACGCAACTCTAACGTTCCAAAAAATTAGGTACTTCCTAGACACTACAATATTTTTTAGAAGAGAATCTGGTATTATGGCACATACTGTGTTGTTTTTAATAGTATTTGTTTGAAATGAGTCTTGATTTGCTTAGGTATATTTCTACACCAGTGCGTCAGCTTCAGAGGTGCTAACAGCGAATTTTATAGGCGTCTAGACAGCGAGAGGCTTGCTCTTTTAATAAAGCGTCCTGCATATTTACCGTAAAAGACCAATTTGCTCAGTGCAGTACGACTGTACTGGCCATGTTGAAATGGAATATCGGGTGTATAAATACGTATGCATTATAGCTTGCATCGAATGTCTGAAATACTTGTAACTAGGGGAAAGCATTAGAGTTTTTTTGTCTAGTTACGAAAAAAAGTGATGAAACTTTGCGTTTAAATATTTCGATTATAGATCTGCAATCTCAAGGCAAAATGTTCTGATGAGTTCGTGTATTGAATTTCTATATATATATATATATATATATATATAACGGGCATGGTGGCGGGGGCCCGAAGGCGTGGGTATAGAAGGAGAAAAGAACCCTTAGTGAAAACAGCAACAACGGACGATTTAATCTTCGATGTTTCGGCCGGAGTCCGGCCGAAAGTCGAAGATTAAATCGTCCGTTGTTGCTGTTTTCACTAAGGGTTCTTTTCTCCTTCTATATATATATATATTTGGAACATAAAATTGGCGCACACATAGCGTAAAATACAAATCGAAATGCCATGAAAATCTGGAAGTACGATAAGAAGACATACATTTTCGTTAAAATAGTACACTCATGTCTCGTTAATATGGACCCCGTTAATATGAATACCCCGCTATATGGACACCATTTTCGGGGACAAACTGGGGAAATACGTGCATTTTTGTTTCGTTATTATGGACAATTTGCATTATGGACGATTTCTAGGGTAACGGCATGTCCATATTAACGAGACATCACTGTATGAGCTCCCCAGTTATTTAAGCTGAACAAAATAGCCTTTCAGAGTAGATATATAAAAAGTGACACGCGGTGCTATGTTTCAAAATGTCAATTCTATTCTACTCTACTTTGTGTTTTTTTTTATAAAGTTAAAACTTTAGCCATACTGCTTATGTTTATTTATGTATCCGGAATTATTACGAATAAATTCTAAATAAAAACATTTAAATTTAACGTGGAGTTTTTTTTTACAAAATCACAAACTTGCGGCCCACAGAAGTTTGCCTCAAAATCACATTGCAATAGCTATATAAGCAATTAGCACTTATGTCGCAAAACAACTATCATTTCATAGCTGCAAAGGTCAGTTTTATATGGCGGTATATTTTAATGTTTGTAACGGTTATATCAATTATAGTATGCGCCACATGTTTATACAAGTTAAAATTACATATATATGAAATAATCTAAAAAACAGTGTTGTTTCTTTCGTTTTTAAGCTGTTTTATTGACTGTATATATGATCGAAAATAACACAATAAATATTCATTGACATTTTTGCTTTATTCTTCAGACAAGTAAATTTTCTAAACCTCTGGCTGGTAGAGAGTGCTTGCGTAGTCACAACGTTACTAGCAGAATGACCATTAATGGATGTCA